TAAAGCGCTGATGCTTGTCCCCCTCACCAAATAAAATATATAAACACATATAAAAACGCACTCTCAATTGTGAAAAATATAAGTGTGTATACCTAAAATAATTGTCTAAGTAGAAAAAACATCCCGGATTTATTATTTTAAATGCATTTAGAAAGAGTTCGCCCCCGATTCCTCATAGTGGTTTGATCCACTGCCGGTGTTACACCAAATTCTGTGACACGCAGCCTGTCACAGCAGACAGACAGACACACAAGTTAGGTGTGTGGCTACGGGTCAATAATGAATTTCAGTAAGTAGGTGTATTAATCACATTAAAAAAAAGCGATTCTCTTTAATGTAGTTAATGCAGAATCATTCATAAATTAGTTGCGGCAAAAATGCTGATTATCGATGTCCATGAATCGGCTGTATAAGCGGTTACTCATGTAGTTAACGTTATGCTTGTTTACGTTAGCTTGTTGCATAGTGCATTGCAACGCAACTCCCCAAAGCCGTTTCCCATGCATTGTTACATTTGTGACGACTTGGCATAATGTTAACTTTACATTAACGGCCACAATTAGCATATGGATTTGCTAAATGAGCATTGTGCTACGTCCAAACTAACCCAACTGTATTTTTTGTATAATCAATTTCAGTTCTGTTCTTAAGTGACTAAATTAATTTAAAATATAAAATGTCCTTGTTTTTATTGTTGTGATGATTTTTATGATAATTTTTCATTATTCATGTAAAGCACTTTGAATTAGCATTGTGTATAAAATGTGCTAGCTATAAACTTGCCTTGCAGTGTCATGGACTAGATAAAATGATTAAGGTAAAGTTGGTTTTATATTCGCACATTCATTCAGTAAATGCTTCATACATTGTTTACCATGGTACTTTGAATATTCAAACAGAAATCCCATGTAAGTTTGACTTCAAAATAACATTAATAATAATAATAGTAATAATAATAATGATAATAAATTTTATTTGTATAGCACTTTTCCTACATACATGCAACTCAAAGCACTTCACAAACAACAAACAGGCATTGTAAAATAAACAAAATAAAAAAAAATGTATAGACAAATAAAGCAAAATATATACTCAGATAAAAGCATACCTGTACACTCATATATGCATACGTCTACACAATCACACACAATATTCTTTACATACATGCACACACCATACATAATATATACATAAACATACACAATATACATAAATTGCATAAACTTCACAAACTGTTATATTCATACGCAATTTTAAAAAGGTGCTTCTTAACAAGCTTTTTAAAAACATAAATTCTGGGGTATTCTTTCACTTTATTTGGGAGACAATTGCAAATTTTTACACCATAGTGACTAAAAGAAGTGCTGCCAGATCATATCAGATTTACAGAATGAAATTCTAAAAGCTGAGCGCTAGAAGAGCAAAGCAAACGGTTTGGATTATATTTTAATAAGCAGTCAGAAAAGTAAGAAGGTGTCATGTGTAGTGACTTATAAACTAATAAAAGAATCTTAAAATCTATTCTATTAATGCTGTTGTGGTATGTTCTCGTATCTTCAATTTCATTAAAACTCTGGCTGCTGTATTTTGTATCAGTTACAACGTCTTTATAGAACCTTTAGGTAAACAATATACTACTATTTAATTTACTATTCACTATTTAATTGACTGTAAACAATGCTGTACTTTGATGGTTGTTGGTTGCTAATATGATTTTACTATTTATAATTTCCAATGAATACTCTTCTGAGGTTATATTATTAATGAGAGACTGAATGTGCGAATATAAAACCAACTTTACCTCAATGATAAAATGACAGAGAAAAGGAAAATGGACATAATATAATTTTTCAGTGCACTAAACGACAAGTACATAAAGTTCACATATTAAGGCTATTTGGCTTTAAGAATGAGTGCTTATGAAAATACTAATGTAACAATATCAATCACAGGCAGAGGAGAAAGAAATGATTGAGGAACAGGCAGAGCAGGGTCAGTCAGATGTACAGTGTCAGGTAAGGGTGTTGTGCTTTATTGAAGGGATAATGACAATTCTTTTAGGGGTGAACAATTTTTTTTATGTTTTCTGAGTTGTGGCTGTTTAGCAAATGAACCTTACAGGCTCACTGATTTACAATATGATCTCTCAATTTAACAAGTGTAATGTAAACAAGTTAGTTATTATGAGTATCGAAAATGTCTTTTCCTGCTATTATTCTGCTTCAGGAGTCAGTCTGTTGACTGTAAACAACACAACAAACAATGCAATAAATAGTTTTGAAGAAAAATTTGCTGTCATTGAACCTGAGAAAAACTTTGAAATTAACTATAATGTAGTCTCCATGCTGTAATATGAACAATAAAACCATTTTAACTGTTGGGACATATCTTTATAAGTACAATTTGGCTGTATTATTTGTGTCCCCTTCAAAAAATCTTTAAAAAATTGCTTATAAGAAATTTTATATTTATTGTCCCCCTACTGTTAAATCAAATTAATTGTCATGGGCGCACCACGTCTAGTCCTCTTTGCCATTGAAAACCATGAGGAAGCATCTGAAGGTATGTAAGCTAGCATTTCATTGTTTTATAAAAGCAAAAATGTTTTTTGTCGTTATCGTGAGTGCACAGAAATAAAAACAGACCCTTTCATTTCCAATTATATGTTTTGACTCACAAAGTTATCGATTTGTGAATTTCAGGGCACCAGCAGACTCCTCTGGCCAAAGTGATCTTATCACATTAACAGTGTAGCTAGCTTAACTACATTTCTCAGTATACACTCTATAGAGTGGCGGTAGCGTCACTAAAAATGAAATAGCTTTTCACAGTAGCGAAGCTATTTTATTAGTGAAGTAGTGCAGTAGTGTCCACTCAAGCTACATTTACAGATCGCGGATCAATAGTGTTTTAAATGTGTAACACCTGGTTTTATTGGATTTTTTTTATTTTTGCTGTTATGTACTATAATTTATTCCTGTTTGGTACAGCATATTAGTTACAGTAAATAATTGAAATGAACAGTTCTGCCTCATATGTTTCATTGGCAGTTTTATTGATCACTAATATGCGATTGAATTGAATTTAAGTGGCTTCGATATAAAAATGAAAATTGCAAAAATTAGATGTATTTTTTTATTGCAAATGCCACATAAATCACCTGCACAACTAACTAAAATTTTTATTTTGTAACAACAGTAAACATGTTTTTGTGATAAGGTCTGGTTTTGTGGTGGCTCTACTTTAAATTTAAATTAATAAAATTAATTTTATTTAAGTGATGAAAGCTTTTGAGATTTCAACAGTAAACAGAGCTAATGTAAGCTCACTCCTGCTCTGTATAAATGCTTGAAAATTATTTAGTTGAAAATATTCATTAGAAACTTAAAAGTAATCAAAAAGTAATCAAATGTAATTAGTTACTTTTATAAAGTAATCAAAAAGTAGTGTAACTTATTACATTTTAAATAGAGTAATTTGTAATCTGTAATCTATTACATTTCCAAAGTAACCTTCCCCACACAGGTGATGACAGTCAGAATGACAGCTGACAGAAGAGCACAGTAACTTGCTATTCTAATGAACACAAGTATATTTACCTCAGAAAATAAAGTCCACTGATTGTAGTTCATGTTTTATTTCTTTTTACACTAATGCAGTGGTTCTCAATTCCAGTCCTCAGGCTTACTTAACACACCTGATTCAGATCATCAGCTCGTTAACTAAGAGATCCATGAACTGATACTTGTGTCACTGTGTGATTGTCACTCACGTGCACGAGCAGCGATTTGCCTGTGATTTCAGGCATTTGTCGGCGATTTCTCAAAACCTGTCGGCGAGCCAAAATCGGGGCAAAAATCACACAGTCTGAACTAGGCATAAGACACATACAAAATGAGAGGACAGGGGGGCCCCATGACAGGAATTGAGAACCACTTGTGTAATTGCAACTTGTGTAATTTTGGTAAAATTTGGAGAATCAGAGCAAACTTGACGTCATATTAGAGTTGTTGTAAGTATCTGTTTACTCAGAAATTGGACATGATCAGTTATAAATGTATCTGTCGTAATTTAATGAAAACAATTGATATCCAAGTTTTAATGTTGAATGAACATAAACTTTATACAAAATCTTTACTATAATCCCTTAATTGCTGTAATCTTGCATGTGTGTATAAATAACAACTGGATGTATAGTGCATGTTTTATTTGACTTCTGAATTGATAAGTAGAAAATATGAATATTTGAATTTATTTAAAACAGAAATGCATGTAAAGTCTTAAAATACTAATTTAAAAAAAAAGGGGGGGGGGGGGGGTTAAATACAATGAATTCTTTTTGAAATCTGTACAATAAATAATGAAAACGCCAACACCAACATTTGCCATTTAACTGTTTAATATTTAATCTTTTGGAACAAGTTTTGATTCATATTGTATTTCCACCAAGTGCAAATACACAAAATGTTATTTTTTAACTCGGACCGATGAAGATTAATAAAATGCTGGTCTGATTATTACAGAAAAAACAGACATGAACTAAGGCCTCATAGTAAACCTTTAGGAATCCTTTCTGCCAGCGGCTGTCATGGAGTACCACGCCTTCAGACACAGCAGCTGCCATACTATGCTGGGCTGTTAACTCACATTACTGAAATCCCATTGTACAGTTATACACACACACACACACACACACACCACACATGCCTCTATTGCAGTTATTTCAATGTGTGTTTTTTTTTTTTGCAGTTTGTCTTCACTGTTGTCTTCGATCACAGGACGGCACGGTGGCTCAGTGGTTAGCACTGTCGCCTCACAGCTAGAAGTTCGCTGGTTCAAGTGTCCGCTGGGTCAGTTGGCATTTCTGTGTGGAGTTTGCATGTTCTCCCCATGTTCATGTGAGTGTCCTCCGGGTGCTCCGGTTTCCCCACAGTCTAAAGCAGGTGTGGGCAAACTTGATCCTGGAGGGCCAGTGTCCTGCATAGTTTAGCTCCAACCCTATTCAAACAGACCTCCCTATAGAGTTCAAGTGATCTTGAAGACACTGATTAGTTTGTTCAGGTGTGTTTGATTAGTGTTGGAACAAAACTCTGCAGGGACACCGGCCCTCGAGGATCAAGTTTGCCCATCCCTGGTCTAAAGATATGCTGTATTAGTGAATTACATTGTACTAAAATGGCCGTAGTCAGTGTATGAGTGTTTGTGTAAAAGCGAGAGTGTATGTGTATGTTTAAAACATATGTTGGAAAAGTTGGCGGTTCATTCCGCTGTGGCAATTTTCCTCACTTACTAAGCTGAAGGAAAATAAATGAATGAATGAATGTCTTCGATCACAATAGTCCATTTTGGCTCTTTTTGGTTTTGTCTTAAAACATCATTAGGGTTTTACTCATCACCAGATGACCAGGAATCCCCCTCATCAGCAGAATCATCTGACTGGACTATCTTGCTCTGCGCTGGCTGTCCATCTTTTTGCTTATCATCCCTGATTTTGAGGATCTCCATCTCTTCTTTAGTATCTCCATTCGCTGATTGCACTCCTATTTCTCTCCACTCCTCTCCAAAGACCATGGCCTGATTTAAGTCTTCAGTTTTGGCGGGATCATAAGTAGCTGCCATCTCCATTTTCCCTTCGCTCCAGAAATCTTGCTTCAAACTAGTGCTGAAGAAGCTGTGAATCTCACTTTTCATTTGCTTCGACTGAAATTCCTCTCCTAAATCGTTGTTCTCAAAGTCCATCACAGTCACTTCTTTTTCTGGAAAGCTCTCCACTGACCTTTCGAGATGTTCTTCAAAATGTCCAAAGATGTTTTCCGCCACACTTGGTATTTTGTTTGAGCTTTCCAGATTCTCATTCACTGGGGAAATGCTTGAATGTTCATCCATGCTTGCATGTGTGGTCTGGGCTGCATCTGAAATGCTCGTGCTTTCCCCCCAAATGTTAAAATTCTCCAAGTCATCAATCTGAGAGGCCTTGGGCTCATCAGTGCTCTTCTCCTCACTGAGCACTTCTTCAGGCACGTCGTTGTTGTCAGACACATAATCAGCCTTGGAGACTTCATTAGTAAAGGTTAATGGCTGTTCATTAGGAGTCGCCGCTGCTAAAAGGCTTGTGTTCTGAAAGCACTGGCTGGCATTTGGAGACTCGTCTTCTGAGCTATTGCACTCAGAGTTGGCCATGTCTGAGGTCATAATGTCTGGCTGACCGTTTATCTCGCTCTCTAAAGAGCGACTGTCAATCAGATCTATGTTGGTGTGCATAGAGACATCCGAATCTTCTGCTTCTTTGGTTGCAGCTTCATCTTCAAACATAGTCAGACTTGATTCTTCCAGTTGCTCTTGCTGAGATCTTTCAGAAAATGTGGATGAAAACTCCGTGTTGACGTGTTCTTGAGTTTCATGTGAATGGACTGGTTTATCCTCAACCTGTTCTGTGTGAACATGCTGGTGTTCAGTCAGTTGCTGGTTCTCATTTTGCTCAAAAACACTGACATCTTCTTCCTTATTGTCTCTCATATTATCAGCATCACCACTATCTTCCTTCTCCAGATTACCCTTGCGTTCACTTTCTTGCACCACCACATCCAAACTTTCATGGTCTCCAGAGACTTTCTGAAACATCACAGATGCCACATCGTCAGCTGCAGCTTCTTCATTAGAAACAAGATCCTCCAGCCTCATCTTTCCGGTGACCTCCATGTCTGGTTCTTCAGTGAGATCCTCCATAGTGTTAAAACGTTTCTCATTCAAGTGGCCTTGATCAATTCTTTCTTTCTCATCCTCACTGTCACTGGTCTCACCGATGTGGTGTGAGGTTTCCTCATCGCTCTTATAACGGATCAAGGGCCGTGTGTCTGCCAGCGTGTGCTCCTGGCTGTAACTGTCTCCTTCTCCTGGGTCAGTTTTCAATGAGGCTGATATGTTTGGGGAGTCATCTTCATCACATTGCTTTTCTTTTTGATTTTCTTCTTCTGCCTCAGATTGGTCTTCGTTCAGCTCTATCTGAGGTAGATTGTGCTCATCCTGATGATCAGTGTCATTGGGTAAATCTACACCCAGCATTCCACCTGCACTTTGCACTAGAATTTCTCTTTCTGTCACTTCTAACTCTTCCCTTTCTATGTCATCTTCAGTTTTATCTTTCGTGTCAGTATTGATGCTCATTTCTCCCTCTTCTACCTCAAAGTAAGAAGTCATCACTTTGGTCTCATTCTCTGGTTCACTTTCTTCCTGTCTGTCCCACTCATTGATTGAATCAATAGCTGCCTCAGTTTCACTGTTCAATTGTTCTGTCACCTCCTCGCTAATATTGCTCACATTGTCCAGTTCCTCTTCCTTCATAAGATTTTCATTTGTTGCCTCATAGCCAAAATAACTAGCTGAATCTAGAGTTCCTTGCTCAAGGAAAGATGAAGCCAGTGCATTGGTGTTTTGACTGATATGGCTTGATGTTAATGTATTACTATCATTCTCTGCATCTCCATATGCAAATGTGTGGCTTTCACTGATGATCTCTGATCTTACGTCCATCTCAGAAGCATCATCTTTTTCATCCTCTACTGCAGATTTGATTTCTTCCCAAGCAACCTTGGGTGCATGTGAGATACGAGCCATTTCGACAGACACTTCAGTGTCTTCATCCTTTCCGTCTTCTGAAACTTCTGCAGGATCATTGAAATGACCAGCCCAGCTCTTTGTCTCTGGAGTTTGGGACATACTTCCTTGTTGCTCAGCTGGTACACTAGTCAGTTCAGATTCATCAGTTTTAGATTCAACCATATGAGCTTGTTGGGGTTCATTTGCTTCGTCTTCCACCTTAATTTCTTCTGGTTGAAGCTCTGGTTTTGGTTCTGCAGATGTTTTGGGAAGAGTGGATTCGAGAGTCCAGTCTTGCTGGACTTTCTCTTGCTGTAATTGATCCACAGACTCCTCAGCAGATCTCTTAGTCTCCTCAGATATGTGATCCTCTGTCTTTTCTGTCATCGAGGTACTGCTTGGTGGTCTCTGTGGAGTCCCTCGTGTCAGTGTCCATGACGGAGCCGCACTGGTCAGCAGACTGCGGGATGAGGCGATTGATCTGTGACTTGTAGACACAGAACTGCTGAGAAGGCAGGAAGCAGCAGTGGTTTGAGAAGTTGACTGGATCCCAGTGGGCTTTGAGAGTGCATCTGTGACAAAAAAAAATAAAAAACAAGAAGATGGCAGGCTTTGTCACAATGACAGGCAACAAGCTCTGTAAGAACAGCAAGATCTGATTAAGTCTATCATTGAGTAGGAGCCAAATCCTTCATGTGGATTGTCTTGACACATAAAACAGTTGGGCTTTGGACAACCTGGGTTCTAGTCCTATTGAGGAAAGTTTGTCATGCCATCTGTCTGTCTTCATTTTCATAATTGCACTGTCCAATTTCAAAAACAAAATCTAAAAAACATTTTAAAATAGCCCAAATGTTCCTAATTTGTTTAAAGTTTGTTTAAAGTTGTTCTATTTCTGTTACTTGGCAGATTTGTCTGAGATTCCAATAGCAATTATTTTATTCCTTAAAATTTTTATTCCTTAAAAAACATCCCTAATATATATATATATATATATATATATATATATATATATATATATATATATATATATATATATATATATATATTGTTATCGTTATCTGAGTAAGCCATCAGAGCCATTACAGCAGCCCAAACAGCAGCAGTTGAGACTTGTGCCAGTCACTTAATCCAGCATAAGGGTTCTCAACCGTCCGTCACATTCTGTCTTTATATTATGTTCTGTGTTTGTCATAAAGTCTTCAGTGCTCAATGCTCAAATGACAAATCTGACACCCATTTGCGTGCACACGCATCACACAGTGCCTACAGTTAAACTTTTAAACACAGAGGTTTATCATAAACCTTTCATCGATCATTTTCCCACAATTGACAGCAAGAACTAACATAGAAGTGTTGTTTGATTGACAAGCAGAACCTGCATGTGTTCAAACGAATCGAAAATGCCTAATCAGATGGATTTATGCCGCATTTAATCTATAGGTTCCCAACTGTCAAAACGCCTCTCAAAATGCTTTTTCAGAAATTACATATCTGCACATTTGCACATTTACTGTAATGTTTCATTATACTTTAAAAATTTAATTGTACTTAAATTTATTTAACTTGTTGGTTAATTAAATCACTTTGTTATTTTAACCAATTATTTTTATGCAACAGTCAAGTTGAGTGTTAATTTGCTATGTAAAGAAAATAAGATAATTAATTTTTGGCATGTGAATATATCTATTTAATCACCTTGCAATTTTGAAATTATTGCTTTTTTTTTGCTTTGAGTAGGCTATTTAGTTTATAAGATCAATTTAAACTTAACTTTCTCTGAAGTTTTAAAAATCAGTTGTTTACTGTATAGAAATATAACATTTTTAAATATTTATATTGGCTAATATCTTGGCTTTCGGTCTCCAAATTTTAAGTGTCATCGGTTATAAATATAGGTCAAAAAACATACTCATTGGTGCATCCCTATCCTCATTGGTGCATCCCCCCCAACAACTGATATATTTTATCATGATGACAGTAAATAATATTTGACTAGATAATTTTCAAGACACTTCTATCTTAAAGAGACATTTAAAGGCTTAACTAGGTTAATTAGGGTAACTATGCAGGTTAGGGTAATTAGGCAAGTTATTGTATAATGATGGTTTGTTCTGTAGACTATCTAGAAATAATATTGCTTAAAGGGGCTAATACTTTTGTCCTTAAAATGGCTTTTAAATTTTTTTAAAAAAATTTATTCTTGCCTAATTAAAACAAATAAGAATTTTTCCAGAAAAAAAAAATTATCAGACATACTGTGAAAATATTCTGGAAATATTTTAAAAAATTAAAAAAATTAAAAAGGGGGCTAATAATTCTGACTTAAACTGTGTGTATATGTGTGTTATTTGCCTTTTAAATTTGGTATAAATTTGCCTCTACAGTATGTATTTAAAACAAAAATACAAAGATAAACAAAAATGTTTTAACTTTTCATTCATTAATCACTGCTTTAAAAATGTGTTTAAAATATTTGAATGAAAATAGCAACAAAAACATAAACCATATTATCAAAATATGATCATATCATCATATCCTGTCATAACTACATTATGATGCTACTGTAAGTGAAGCGGAACCGAAAACCCCCCGGGCTAAAGAGATAGTTGGAGATGAAACAAACAGACATAGACCTTAGATTTGCCTCTCAGGGGAGTTATCAGAATACATGCAAGCCCTGAACTGTGAGTGAGTCGTAATGGAGATGTATTGATCTTCATTATGCGTTTTCCAGACCGGCATTACTGGAAAGTGGCGCCATCTGCTACAGTGACCTATGGGACTAGGCTAGCACAGGAAGCTAGCTTTACAGTCTTTGACAGATACCCCACCATACAATCAGTGCACAATACCACAAAGTACTAATCATTTAACCAGCCCAGGGGAGACGATGGTAAGGTAAATGGGTTCACTTTCTATAACATATGCAGTTATTATTTTCATATAACCTCAATGTTTTAGCATCCTACACTATAAAAACTACAACAACCACACAACTTTCTGTTACTATGATGCTGTGTCCTAGAACGTTACCTAAAAAGACAGTAGAGCTGGTCTTGTTTGGTGTTGGTCTGTCGATTCTCAGGCCCTCGCTGTCCAGCAAAGCTCTGGAAAGAAGCAACAGAACAGCTGTTAGCATCACAGTGTTTTCTTTAATGTGAGGGGTTGGCTAAATGAGATGAAGCCATGTTCTTGAACTGCAGTCCAGTGCCTAGCCCTCTTGTTATGCAAATAGCATGTCAGATTTGTCATTGTCAGCCCATCTGCAAGACTGCACATAGCAATAGTTGCAAGAGTTGGACTTGTATATAAATATGACAGACAGACATAGACAGATGCAATTTTATATATTTATATGCACATTTAGTGTAACAGGTATGATCCCAAAAGCTTGTATCCATCTAAAATCATATTTTTTTTATATAATGTGGAATGGAGATGTTATGGATGATGTGCAGTATATCTGAATGATTTCCAATAATGAACCTCTTCTCTGTGTATGTATTTTATATATGTTCTTATTTTGTAACACAAACGCATCAATCCTTCTCAATGCATGTAACGCAATGATAAAGAGGACCATAGACTGAGCAACAGCTTAAATGAGTTATCCTAAATTTTTTTCACTCAACCCTCAACAGACATAAATCTGACAGATATGAAAGGTGTTATTGAATGAATCACCCACCCCCCTGTTTCTCAGCCCCTCCTCCAGGCAGATGGATCAGGGTCAGTGCCGGGTGGGAAATGAAGAGGGTCTATTCTGATTGACTGATCTAAAGTTACCCCTCTCAGGGGTGCCTGACATGCCTTTCAGAGCCGCTGATGCATGATCATATTAGCTGAGCCTCCATAAACTACAAATCCCAAAGAGCATATGGGAGGATCTGCACTCAGACTGCTTTGAGACTGCTCAATGGCCACATGCGTATTGTACTTTTTGTGATAAGGCGAGGTTGTATTTTGTTGGTGATGGTGATGTAAAGGACATAGACAGGTACCTGTATGTTGCCACCTCCAGTCCAAGAGACATCTTCACCTGCAGCAGATGTTGTCTATCCAACATCAGGCTGTCAATCTGCTGCCCCAGACAGTCTTTCTCCAACTCCAGGGTGTTTACTTGGGCCTGTACAACAACAAAACAAGGCATGTTTTCTTGAAAAAGCATTTTCTTTCTGTGTCCGAAATTAAATACTTCTACAATACATAATATGCACAAAGAAAAATCTGTACGACAAAAGAGTAACCCAGCAAGCAATATTTGTGTGTGCGTGTAAGATATGTAATAGACATCTAGGCTAAAATAAGGTCAAAATTGGACTGGTAATTTTCTGAATCTCAGCCGAAGTAGTAGATCATCCAGGAACTTTTTGACTGCTGTTTTTATATGATTAAATCAGATGTCCCAGGAAGCTTTTTTGAATCTAAAAGATGTCTAAAATATGTATACACACACACACACACACATCGCTTGGCTAAAATAAAGCTAAATATGGGCTGTCAGTAAAAATATTGTAGAAATCTAACAATAGACCAAAAATACACTATCATTAAATAGACAGGAATGAATGACTACATGTGTAGTCTGTCTAATAGGACTTTAATCTGTCTATTTTTTGGACTATTATTAGACATCTTTTAGATTTTCACTGACAGACCAAATTTAGCTTTGTTTAAGACAAGCTGTTTATGTTTGGACATCTATTTGACATCTTTTAAGCACACACACAAAAAAATGCTCGCTGGGACATCTGATTTCATAAAAGAAAAAAAAACTAGTCAAAAGTTCCTGGATGATCAACTTCTTTGAGATTCAGAAAATTCTGCCATTGGACAGGATTTATTATTGGCAGTGAAGCAAAGAAACTGATATTGGTAGGGCACATGAGAGCAACATATGGCAAATGTAGCAAGTCAGACTATTCACACTAGATCAGAAATCCTGTTTTAAATTTAACACAGCAAGTTTATATTCAAACTGAGTGTTTTTGAAGCCAAACAAGGTGTTTATTGAAGATCATACTGTAGCACACAGTTTCAGAGAGGAACTGATTCTGAATTTCTGGATGAACAGATCAACATTTTATGTGATAGTATTACCTGCTGCATGATCATGTAACTTGATCATGTGATTATTACGTATTCTAGGTGAAAAGGGTTTTTACACTCTTCGTGTTTGATTGTCATGTATTAGCACTTGAAGTCAGAATTATTAGCCACCTTTGACTTTTTTTTCTTTTTAGAATAGTTCCCAAATTATGTTTAATGTTGCAAGGAAATGTTCACAGTATGTCTGATAATGATTTTTCTTCTGGAGAAAGTCTTATTTGTTTTATTTCAGCTAGAATAAAAGCAGTTTTCACATTTTGAAACCCATCAATATTATTAACCCCTTTAAGCTATATTTTTTTCGAAAGTCTACAGAACAAACCATCTCTATACAACAACTTTCCTAATTACCCTAACCTGCCTAGTTAACTTAAATAACCTAGTTAAGCCATTAAATGTCACTTTAAACTGTATAGAAGTGTCTTGAAAAACATCTAGCAAAATATTATGTACTGTCATCATGGCAAAGATAAAATAAATCAGTTATTAGAAATGACTTGAAACTATTATGTTTAGAAACGTGTTGAAAAAAATCTGTTGTCAGTTAAACAGAAATTGCACAAAAAATAAACAGAAGGCAGATAATTCGGGGTGGGGGGGGGGGAATAATTCTGGTTTTAACTGTATGTATATATACAGTTGAAACCAGAATTATTAGCCCCCCTTTGATTTTTTTTCTTTTTTTAATATTTCTCAAATGTTGCTTAACACAGCAAGGAAATTTTTACAGTTTGTCTCATAATGTTTTTTCTTCTGCAGAAAGTCTTAATTGTTTTATTTCGGCTAGAATAAGAGCAGTTTTAAAATTTTTAAAAAAGATTTTAAGGACAATATTATTAGCCTCTTTAAGCTATATAGTTTGATTGTCTACAGAACAAACCATCATTATACATTAATTTGCCTAATTACCCTAACCTGCATAGTTAACCTAATTAACCTAGTTAAGCCTTTAAATGTCACTTTAAGCTGTATAGAAGTGTATTGAAAAATATCTAGTCAAATATCATTTCCTGTCATTATGCCAAAGATAAAAATAAATCAGTTATTAGACATGAGATATTAAAACTGTTATGTCTAAAAATGTGTTGAAAAAAATCTGACTTTAACTGTGTGATTTATATATATATATATATATGTATGTATGTGTTTGTGTGTGTTTGTGTGTGTGTGTGTGTGTGTGTGTGTGTGTGTGTGTGTGTGTATTATTACCTTATATATTATATAAACATAATATAGAATTTTTTTTGCAATTTTATTTTGCAATAATTGGTTATTAAATAAGAAATTTATGAGAATGAGAATTAAATTAAATTTCTTACCTGAAGATGTTGAAGCTCCTCTTTCTGTTCTTCTCTTTGCTGCATGGCATGTTTCTCCAGCATCTGCCTCTTGATCCTCGTGCTCTCCAGCTCTTTGGCCAGATGCTGTACCTGACGCTGGCTCTCTCTCTTCTCCTGGTAAATCTTTGTCATGTTAGCTTTTGTCTGGTTCAGACTCTCCTCCAGACGTCCAACCTGTTTCTGATAGTTGTTGGCTGCCTCCTGCCAGGCTTGAGCTGCCTTGTAGCCATACTCCTGCCCCAGGTCTGGGATGCTGGTAGCTTGCACACGCTGTGGAGCCATTAGGACCTGCTTTGTCTGTTTCAGTGAGGCCTGCATGGTTTCCATGTTCTCCTGGTGCACTTGCATCTGCAGCATGAGGTCTTTCTCGAGTTGACCGACCTTCTCTCTAAGCCAAATCTGAGCCCTGCGCTCCTCTTCCAGCTCCTTTCTGCTCTCTGTGAGCTTCCTCTGAGCTTCAGCCTGTGCAGTCTTCACCTTCTTTCTTTGAAAGCTCACCTTCTCCATATCCTCCATCAGATTCTCTACCTCCAGCTCCACACAGTCTTTCTTTCTCCAGGCCTCCTCCATCATCCTCCTGGCCTGACTGAGAGCCTCCTCCTGGGCTTTACGTTGGCCTGCTGGGTCCCTGCTGCTCTTGAGAGTGTGGATCTCCTCTCGAAGTAGCTTGTTCTCTTCCTCCAGAAGTTTCACACGGCCCAAGTATGATTCAAGGCGGTGGTTCAGCTCTAGCATCTGGTACTTTTCCTCCTGAAACTGAGGGCCAAATGGCTGTCGGACACCCAGAAGCTCCATCTTCGAGAGATATGAAGTGAAATCTCACTAGAGGCTGTGAAGAAATGGGGCACTTTGAGGTTACTAATTCAGTGATTGTAATGACAGGCTTGTGGGTGAGGTCTGGACCACAGTCCCAGTGCCCAGCAGCTGAATGGACAGAGGAGGGTACGACCCTGCTTTCATAGACAATGAGACGGGGGAGGGCGATGGACTTGAGGAGGAGGGGTGGATGGACTGAATGCGAGAGAAGGCAATGATGTAATTTGGTTAGTGTTAACTCTACCACTGCTGGATTACATTCAGACCTGTTAAACTTACTTTTATTCATGTGAAACACAAGAGGTTGTGAGGCAACATTCACTTTCAGCATATTTTTTTATAGTGAACCTAATTGGTGACTGTGAATGTCTATTTAGAAAAACATGAGAATAAATGAAGACTTATTTTTTTTCTTTTTGTCCAAGCAATCCCTGTAAGTCTTTTTCTCTTCGATTTATCCGGTTAATTGCTCCCTCTTGTGGCAAGACGGTCACAATACATCAGACAAAAGTTGTTTACCTGCATAGTGAAAAAGAAACTGGATAAAAATTGAAGTCATTATTATGTGTAATCATTTATTACCTTATTAAACATCTACATATTACAAGTAACTTGCAAAAAAAGATTAAAAAAAAAACTTAAAAATAAAGCAATGTAGGCTATTAAAACTACTGTTGATATACACCCACCGGCCACTATATTACGTACACTTTACTAGTACCGGATTGGACCCCCTTTTGCCTTCAGATCTACCTTAATCCATCGTGGCATAGATTCAACAAAGTACTGGAAATATTCCTCCGAGATTTTGGTCCATATTGACATGATGGCATCACAGTTGCTGCAGATTTGTCGGCCCCACACCATTACACCACCATCAGCACCAGCCTGAGCCGTGATACGCCCATTTAAACTCATTCACAGCCACCAACCTGAACCATTGGGATCCATGCTTTCATATTGTTGACGCCAAATTCTGACTCTACTATGCAAATGTTGAAGCAGAAATCGAGACTCGTCAGACCAGGCAACGTTCTTCCAATTGTGGAATTTTTGTGAGCCTGTGTGAATTGTAGCCTCAGTTTCCTGTTCTTAGCTGACAGGAGTGGCAAGCGGTGTGGTCTTCTGCTGCTGTAGCCCATCCGCCTCAGCGTGTTGTGCATTTAAAGATGCTCTTCTGCATGCCTCACCTGTAAAGTGGTTATTTGAGTTACTGTTGCATTCAATCAGTTCCAACAGCGTTAACGAGCAGTTGGACAGGTGTACCTAATAAAGTGGCCGTTGAGTGTATGCCACCAATTCTGCTTAACTTAGCAGCTGTAAAATAATTTTTACCATGTTAAGTTCTAATGATAGTCTGTGTGATTCATTTTGTGATAAAATGAATTAACTTTTCTCCTCTGAGAACCCAAGGTTATTATACTTCTGCTGTTCAGAATAAAGAAGAATCAGCTGACTGATTATGTTATATTATATACGTAATATTGTGTTTGATTTGTTTTTCGCCATGCGATCTCCCTTAATGTTACGAATTTCAGCCAGGTTTAACAAAAACTACTGAAAATAGCACAGCTTTGCATAGTAATATATGCATAGGACTATACACATTAATAAAAACTAAACTTCCTCTGGCCGACCATAAAACATAAAAACTTGCTTCATAACAGGACAGGAAAACACACAATTTTGAAAAAATGTCACTTCCTTTATCAAAAATAGAGAACTTTCTTAATTAAGTTCCTCTGGTTTTATTATGTAATAACACTGTATATTATCATTGTTCTGCTTTCTGAAGTTGACACAAATTTGTCAGCATGAAAGCATAACAGGGTGGATTTAATCTCACTCCTGTTTTTCATTCAGAAGTTTTCTGTGGATTGTGAAGGCGAGCGTGTACAATGGAAGAGGAGTTGTGCTATTCAACAGTGAGCTTCAAGACTTTTGACAATGACAAATCTGCAGGTATGTGTTTGTTGGTGTTTTTGCTAATGACGAAAAAGAAAAAGAAAGAAAAACATTTATGTTACCACATTTCCTCTGCTTGATTTGAATATTTTAAGACTCAAACAAAAGTGAAAATTTACTCATTATTTACTTGCCCGTAAATGTTTCCAAACCTTTTTGAGTTTCTTTTTTTTTTTCGTTGAACACAAAAGAAGATCTTTTGAAGTATGTTAAAAACTGGTATCCATTGACTTACATAATAGGATGTACAAATACTATGTTTTTTTTTTGTTTAACAGAAGAAAGAACCTCAAATGGGTTTGTGACAAGTGAAGGGAGAGTTTACTATTCCTTTAATATTAGTTGTTTTGATTTTGGTTGGTCACAATATAATTATATATATTTATTTATATTGCAGTGCCAGAGTATGTTGAATCTGTATTGTATGCAGAGGTGAAAGGAGGAAAATCAGCTTCAAAGAGCCCCCCTGAAACCACAGGTTAGAGATCAGTAACACACACAAAATAAATAATGTTTATACCAGTTTTATATGTATATATGTGAATAAATACTCATGGCATTTGTTACTAAATATTTCAATAGAAACCGTTTCTTTTTGCATAACATATTAAAAAGGGTGCAAAGAATGGATGTTGAAGTTGATATTTGGTGTAATAACCTTGAATTTCAGTCACAAAAATGTGTTCATTTGATATTCTGACTATTGTCTCTTTCTGGAAAAAAAGGAATATTAATTCATTCATTCATTTTACTGTCGGCTTAGTCACTTTATTAATTCGGGGTCGCAACAGCAGAATGAACTGCCAACTTATCCAGCACGCAACCCATATCTGGATGCCCTTCCAGCCGCAAACCATCTCTGAGAAACATCCACACACACTCATTCACAGACACACAAACACACTCATACAATACAGATAATTTAGCCTACCCAATTCACCTGTACCGCATGTCTTTGGACTGTAGGGGAAACCGGAGCACCCGGAAGAAACCCCTGCTAACGCAGGGAGAACATGCAAACTCCACACAGAAATGCCAACTGAGCCGAGGCTCGAACCAGCGACCTTCTTGCTGTGAGGTGACAGCACTACCTACTGCGCCACTACGTCACACAAAAGGAATATTATTCATTCAAAAATGTCTCGAAATTTAAGGATAACTAAAGGAAACAATTGAACTTCTTTCAGATTTTGAATAAATGACGTATAGATTATTTCATTATTTCAATTTTTTTTCTCTCACTATTTTTGTCTCTTGCTCTTTTTCACATGCAGCTCCAAAGCAGCTTTACTATAGCTGCACATTATTGGATCACAAACAAACTCAGAAAAGTTAAGGTTAATAGTTACCATAACTTTATTAGTCGCTAACAACTTTAACTAATTAACTAAATAGAAACTAATTACTAATAACTTTACCCATTAAAGCTATTATAGATAAACAGTTAACCTGCTGTTCTTTAGGTGACTTCTATGTGTACATGTTCAATCAAGTGCATTGTGTGTTAAGTGTTGTGTGTTTTTCTTGGATGGTTGGCATTATCTTATACCAACAAAACAGAAGTCCAGCTCAGCTGAACAAATAAACTTGTGCTATTTCTCTGTTTTCATGCAGAAAAAAGCGTGAAGAGCTCAATCTCTCCAGCATACAGACGAGATGCAGTGATTCTGGGTCTGCTCTGTTTCCTCCTGTTTGCTGTGTTAACGGCGCTCAGCATTTTCAGTAAGAATAAACTTAAAAAGAACACTTAATTCTAATTTTGGATGTCCACATTTTTGTAGAAGAAAGTCAAAGAGCTCGATTAATTGGCTGAATTACGTTTGCTCAGAGTTCAAACTGAACTTAAAAACCTCCAGGAAGTGATTACGCACTCCTGATGTAACAAAGAAAATAACAAACGTGAAAGTTTTTCAAAAAAGTAAAGTTTTGTGCAACATTGCTCTCACAACACTGGAAACTTCCTCATGCGTTAAACGCAAGTTTTTGCAAGACTTTTTGCGTCACTTTGTTATAATTCCACACACCAGTAAATGATTTTGTTTACACCATGGTTAGCACTTTGCAAGAAATTATGGACACTAATCTCTGCTTTATCAACTTTTGATGTTAAAAATGTAACTACAGTTTAACAAAGTGGCTTTTTGACATTTAATTGTTTATAAGAATCAATACATACAGAAATCAATTAATAAATAAAAGAATTATCACTCATTACCAGCTTTTTGAATTGTAATTTACACTCAACCCAGACAATATAGTTTTAAACCAGTAAAAAAAAAACATTAATAAAGAAAGTGTTAAGCTTTAATCATAAGCTTTAATCATCAAAAGTTGATGGATTAGAGATCAAGGTGCAATTTAGGCCCTGATTGCACATCTAAAAAGGTTCATCATCCAATCAGAATAAAGAAATCACCAGCCTTGTAGTAGGTTTATAATTATGCATATTGACTCTTCCTAATGCCTGCTGCAGTTGAAAAACTAAAGAAAGTATTGTATTTCCTTACACAAGTTTGCTTTATTTGTTTTTCCAATTTGCAGGCTACATTTACAGGTTGAAATACAACAATAGTCAGGTAAGATCAATGTCTGAAACAATTCACAGCATTTACATATCTGCTTAGCAATTTGTAGAGTCTGTATTCACAGATAACTTAAAAATTAAGCTGGAAAAAAAAATGAAGATTAAGATAAAAAATTATGGGTGTCCTTAGTCCTAAATTTTGTAAATAGCTTCTAAATCAGTGAAATTTATTTCATTTAGGAGTAATTTCCCTTATGTTTTTTTTATTTATATTAAAAAAATACCAAAAAAATCTACAGCAGAAAATAATAAAATTTTTAAACAGATGTTTATGCAAATATACAGTAGTCAATATTTGAAGTGATATCAAAGTGGTCTTAAACTATTTAACACTTATTCTAGTCTTCTAAAAAAATGTTGATAAATATTTCTGAATATATTTAGAAAAAAATGTAAAATATATATTTGCATAATTAGTTTCTAGAAAATATATTGACTTGTTACATTGACTGGAAATCTTTATTTAATGTCTATAACATTAAAATCAACTTTTTAGAATACAGTTCTTCATTTACTTATTAAAATCTTTATTTGTATATGGCAAAAAATATTGTGCATAAAAAGTTTAAGTAAATAAATAAATAAATAAATCTTTGACAGGGGCAACACGGTGGCTTAGTGGTTAGCACTGTCGCTTCACAGTGGAGTTTGAAAGTTCTCCCCATGTTGGCTTAAGTTTTCTCTGGCTGCTCCACGTCCAGTGCAAAAACATTTGAATTGAAATAACTAATGAATATGTATGGGTGTTTCCTAGTATTGGGTTGCGGCTGAAAGGGCATCCGCTGCGTAAAACAGATGCTAGAATAGTTGGTGGTTCTTTCCGCTGTGGTGACCCCTGATAAATAAGGGACTAAGCTGAAGGAAAATGAAAGAATGAAATCTGACAGAACCCCTCACCATCAGCCAATCACTGTGTAGTTAGTAATTCTGCTGACATCATCTATAGTAACAAGGTCAACCCCTCCTTTATTCTTCAAACTTCCCTCTATTTCTTAGTGAAGTTTGTCCCAGCAGCTTTGTGAACAGTGCTTGCTTTGTTTTTTACTCTCAGCTAAAAACTGTTACTGCTATTTAACAGAACTCTTAGTGGTAAGATCAAATATTTGGTGAATATGGGCCCTGATCTTACAAGAAATAAAATTATACAGGTCCAGTTCACTAAAGAGAGAGACGCCAACCTGCTGTTACAGGCAGAAAAGGAGATGCTGGAGCAGGACAGAGCGAGGTTGAAAACACTGAGTGATCAGATGAACAGCACACTGGAGGCCATTCTTCAGAAAAACAGCTTTCCAGCTCGACAGTACTGTCAGTCCAGTGAGGAGGGTGAGCTGTTTTACTGTAAAAAGTGCTACACTCACAAAGTTGGTTCTATCTACTTTAAATAATTGCAATCTAGTTAATTTTATTTGTTTTATACCAAAAAAATTTAATTTGCTTCCTCTTTACTTAAAATATATCAGTTTTTATATAACTGTATATTTTGAATAAAACTAATGCAATTTATTTGAGTAGATTTTTGTACGTGGTTATTGTGTAGAATAAATGTTTTAAAAGTGAGTTGACACAGACAATTTATTAGAGCAGCTGTCGATGTGGGCAGGTGTTCATAAAACGTGATTTTTATAGTTTTGCGTGACTCCTTTTTCATTGCCCGGGATTTAGCAGGCAGACGCAGCTTCTGCAATGGTCGACATTAACTGCTCCCAGCAGCGGATCTGATTAACACGGTAAGTTGCAAATTTAGCCGAATGATAATTGTAAAGTCATGCAAAACTGCTGTCTTCGCTAGGCAGGTGAGGTTTTAGCTTTGTAAATTGTACTGTAGCCTCAGGTATGTTAACAGTTAGACTGCTCTCACATGGAAAGCTAAGTTGGCTAACGCTAACCAACGCTAGTTTATGCTAATGATTAAAAGTGATATTATTGAGAAAAAATAGTGAAAGTAGTTTTAAAACACTTAGTAGGTATAACTAACGTTACAGAACCGATTAACAAGGTCACTGGTGGGCGGTCGGGGTGTGGGGGTTCAGTTTGCTAGCGCTAACTTAGCTAAAGTTAGCTCACCTAAGTTATAGCAGCACATTAAGGATGGATATTAAATGCAGAAACGTATGCAACAGTTAAGTAGTTTGTGTTTAACGTAAGAGAAAGTATAACTTAAAGTTTGTGTTTTAGAGATTTAGTCCATAAGTTTTTTTTAATGCTGCATAGTGAATAAATTACAGATTTACAATTTATTTTAACTTAAATTACATTTACTACTGATGTTTACAGAACCATTTAAACTGTATGCACCTCATTCTAAAATGCATGTTCTTGGTCTTTAGATACCAAAGTGATTTTGTTACCTGTATATCTTCAAACTTCACATCCAGGTAAGAAAAACATTAGATACAACTACAGCTATAATTATTTGCAGGCAAGTAAAACATTGGTAAAATTGCAAACAATAGTGGGCTCCATAGAATTAACTTACATTTGATATCTGAAGTGCAACAGTAATTTTTTACTGTTTTTTTTACACAGATATTATGTGTGCAACAGTAAAAACAGTATAAAAATATCCTAATGCAGTTTCTTATTATCTGTCAGTCTTTCAATAAAGCTAACTGATAACACTGAATCACTGAACTGTCATTTGCCAGTGACATTAAATTTGAAGAAAAAGTCAATTAAATGTAGCTTTAGCAAAAATTTAATGTAAACCTTAATGTAATGTGTAAAATGGCAATGTATTTATTTATTTATTTATTTAATAAAATTTGTATTATGACGTGCAAAGTTTGGTGCAAAATGAAGATGACATTTAAATTATAGAACTTGTATTCTATAATTTTCATATAGCCATTTTCAAACAGTTTTAATATCTAAATTAAATACACATTCTTATGCTTTATAAGTTGCCAAAATAAACAAAAAATGTAATACCTAAATTTTAACAATTCTTTGATTGACAGGAAAACACAATGACATGCACTGTTACACTGAGTAAAATCACAGTTTTCTTTAAAATTTGATAACTAAAAACACCTGGAATAATGTAATTACACAACCTCTATAACCTTTTTTTATTTTTTAAATAGAAGTTAGGTAATTTTAACTAAGGTAATTTTTAACTGATAAACTAAGGTGTTTCATCCATGCATCATTCTCACTGGACTTTTGTAACTTCACTTGTAGTTATTTCCTATTCAGTATTTAGCTATTTAATGTTGTTTGGTAGCAACCACCTGAACTCCTGTTTCTTTTTGTCTCTACCAATAGAGTTGTGAGGAATCAGAGGTGCATGCGGCTGCCCACGGGAAAAATTTGCCATCAGCCCAACACAGTTTGGATTATCATAGGACTGTCAGAGGTTTGCCAAACCTGTCAAATGCATGATGGCTCCTGTTTGGACTTACCGATGTCCTCGACTTCAAGTATCCATCAAAACTGTATACATTTGAGATATATTAGAGACTCTTTTTGGGACTGGACATTATGCATCCTAAATCTTCATCAAAATATGCAAATCTCCTCACTGAGTTGCCTTGGATGATTTCTCAATAGGATCTGGTATTATTAATGTTTTTATTTATGTATTGTGTATGTGTAGCCACATTAATGGCCTATTTTGTAGTCACTATTAAAAGGAACATCGATTGATATTGAATACATGTTATGGTCTTTAATCCATCTTCCCATTCTTATTTAATTGTTATTGACAGGAAAGTCTGTTTATCTGTTTTTACTAGTGTATATTGTGCTTACAATATGGAAACGAAGATTTATTTTCTGAGGTTACAGCCAGAAGTCAATTAAATTAGTTTTAAATGACATATGCATGGTTAATTTTATTTAGATCATTAAGTTCATAATACTTAATTAAAATGAGTACAGTCAACATATAGCAATGTATAAGTAAGTTAAGTTTAACAAAAAAAGTAAGTTTATCTGATTTGAGTATTTTTAGAAATATTAGTTGGCTCAACTTAATTTTATTGCATTTGTTTTAAGCAATGTTTTAGTGTTTAAAATACTTAAAAAAGGCTGGAAGTTGAATCAACCTAAAACGTCCGATGCAACCACTTGCCTCACTTTTTATAAGTTAGATCTAAGTAACATTTTTTACAGTGTAATGTGTTTATGGAAACTAGTGTAGTGTGATCTAAACTCTTCTTTATGATCGCAGGGCTCCAGTGTTCATCCTGTCCTCAAAACTGGATTCAGAATGGCTCCAGGTGTTACTTTTTCTCTACAGGAGATGACTGGAAAACCTGGGAACAGAGTCAGGAATACTGCTTGATGTATGGAGCTCAGCTGACCAACATCGACAACATTGAGAAACAGGTATACTAGTTTCCAAAAAAATAATAAGGGAATAATAGAATACAGTGTTATATATTGTTTCCATCTGGTTTAAAGAAGACTAGCCTGTTTCAGTAAAGAGGTTTAATCAACTCATTTAACTACCAACAAGTTTAAAGTTAAACTCATAAGTTGACTTACCAAGAGATTTAAAAACTCATTTAAAATGACTTACAAAGAGATTTAAAAACTCAGCATTTTCAGTTTCAGATAGCTGATCTGAGTTAGGTCAATCAAGTCAGAGTAGAATAATTCAGAGTTAAGGCATTATCAATGGAGCACAGACATTACAAATTACCCTGTCAACATCTGAAAAAAGAGATCAGCATTTCTGTCTCTAGCTAAACTTAATGTGCTCATGCAAAGTTATAGCAAACATGGCCATATATTTTATAAAATAGCAACACCACTGCACCGGCGAAATAGAGACAGTTAGCGTGGAAAAACAGCTGCTCAAGTTAATGCTAAAGTTTACATTTAAAGTATTTAAATATTTAAGTAATATAAAATAAGTAATGTAACGTGACGTTTATTGACTTTTTATTTGTTTATTTAATTGGCCTAGTTTTGAAGTTATTTCAGAAGTAATTGCATCAAATTACATAAAATAGGCTACCGCATAGTTTCTACAACAAATTTGACAATGCATATACAGTAACAACCTTCTCTTAATGTTCAGTGGAAAAGTTTAATTTAAGGTTCCCACTTTTACACGTGTTGATCAGTCTAAGAGAATTTCTAAATGTGTGTTAATAGATTTAAAAGTACACTTGTGTGTCTGTCTTTTTATTGATCAAATAGTAGAGGTTGATATGACATTTAGAATGTGAGCAGCAGTGCTAAAAAATGTTTTTTGAACAATAATAATGGCATTTATCTTGTTACAGGTTGGTGAATTTAAGCTATTTATTTATTAAAAAGGACAAGCCATTTTTGTAACTTTGTCCTTAGTGTGACTGAAACGTAGGCAGTGATTGACTAAGAGAAATACCGCTTTGTCTTTAAAAAAAGAGGAGACAGACAGAAACTCAGAGTTTAGAGAACAAAACCTGCTCCTGACCAGGTTAATGGGGCCTGTTTGTATCTTAAACAATTAACCAAAAGTATGGATAGACAGTAAGTTGTTATAAGTAATTTATCAAAGTGTTTCACAGAGGTTATTTTGTAAAGTTGTTTAGTTTGACCAACACATGGCAAGCATGTTTAATTCTATTTATACTGTGAAAAAAGGTGTTTGTCATTTCTTGATTGTCTAGCCTCGTTTTCCTTTCTCCTTGAGACAATGGTATCTAGATGCAGCCTTTATGATGCAACCGGTGCAAAAACAAAATGAGGACAGGGGAATCAAGCAGTACTTATTTGTACATTGGAATGTAATTTATTTTTATGAAAGTATGAGAAATGTGCTTTAGTATACTTTTGAACTTTGAAACACAATTATGTATAAAAACTCTTAATATTTTTTCCATATCAGGAGATAGAAAAAATATTCCAAATTAAAATTTGAAAAATAAAGCATCAGATGAAAAACATAACATTCACAAAAATAAACCACACAATGCTAATCAAATGCCTTTACCCCCTGGCGTTCCTGCAAAAATAGCTTAAAATGCCCAAAGTAAATTGCATGATATATTTTTATACCATTTTTAGTATATGCAAAGTTTTGGTCTGTTTTGAAAGGTGACACACTGAGGTTTATTCCTTAATAGTCAGAATCACTGTAAATGTTATTGGTATTGAGTAATTAAACTTGGGACACACTGAAAAATAAAAATCCGCCTACAATTTTTGTTTTAACTAATGTTTGTAGGTAACTGTAGTTAAGAGTATTATACAGTTTAACAAAACAATTAGATCAAAGCATGAAGCCTTACCAAGCCAGATTTTCTATTTTGATAACAGTACCTTAGAATTTGTTTTATACATGTTTATCCAAGTGAACGTCTAGGCACTCCCCAAAGAAGACTACTTAAAGACTCCAAACAACCCTTTTTAACCATTGACACATAAAAGGCTCTAATTCTTGACTGCTTTATTGTACAGACATATTTTTGGGCTCTAATGAAAGGTTACACTCAGCTATTATATCCCTCATTCATATTCGCTGTCAATACTTGACACAATAATTGAAGCATAAATTAAAGAACTGATCATTAGCAGAAGTTTTAGAGGTTTCTTGGTCTGGAATCCTCAGGTATAGTGTTAACATGTGAGTCAATGTTACCAGGATTCCAACGTATTCCATGTAGGATGTCTGAAGGATTCCCGCAGAAGCCCTGCATGGTCCCTTTAAGATTCCTGAATGAATGATTCCTGCATGTCCCCTGTAGGATGTCTGCATGTTCTTGTTTCTGCATGTTTTATTTATTAAAAAAAAACATTTTAAAATTTTTTAAATAAATTTGTATATTTATTTTAAAATTGGGCATTTTTTGCCTTTATGTTCTACTTCTGCAGTTATTTTAGTGAAAGTAACTCACTCAAGCATAATACAGGAGTATTGTAACAGATTGCAATTCTGAGACAGTAATGTAAGGAATTACTTTAAAGAACTGACACAAGTCGTTTATAATGTATTACAGTTTGAAGGAACTTGCACAGCACTGAACTACAGGCATTAGGGTGTCCTGAGTTTGTCACCTACGGCTTTTCTATCTTGGCTTTATTTTTCATAAAGTGACAGTGTGATATGTCATCTGATATGTTCATATGAGGTTTTATCTTTCAACTTTTTAGAGCAATTGTCATATCGTTTTTAAATTATGTTAGTAAATCACAAATTGGGTGTCCTTTTTCATGTGATTGAATTTACTCCTTTCCCAGAGATGGGTTGCGGCTGGAAGGGCATAAAAACTGCGTAAAAACTTGCTGGATAAGTTGGCGGTTCATTCCGCTGTGGCGACCCCGGATTAATAAAGAGACTAAGCCGACAAGAAAATGAATGAATGAATTTACTCCACTTACTTTTTATGTACTTCCTACTGAAAAAAACTCCATTACTTTATAAAAACGTAATGTAAAATAATGAATGTTAAATGACATAAATGTGCTTGAATGTAAATTTCTGTCAGTTAACAACTGTTATTTTATGTTTTTTCCAGCACTCCAGCTGCCGGGAAAAAACTGCAAAGTAACAGAATTGTTTTTTGCAGTGTAGTAAAAGTTCAAATGAAACTGAAGTATACTTACAATAGAAATGTAAATTTGGCCTGCGCTCACATGGAATGTTGAGATGAGATGCGGGCCTCATTTATAAAAACTTGTTTATAAGCCGGCCTTAATTTGTTCTAAGATGACTTCTCAAAATATGCACTTTGAACGCATTCCTTTTTACCAGAGGTGATGTTTAGAATCTCAAATGATCTTGAAATGCTGATCTCTGCCTTGTAATCACCCCTTAATTAATATCATAAGCCTATGAAAGAGCAAGAATCAATGATGAGAGCTAGTTTGAGACTGGGGAGCAACAAGAACATAAGTTTGGCTTAGTCTTGGAAGCGAAGGTAGACTTTTAGCTTTTAGTCTTTTTGAACAGGTTTTCTGGTCAGGAAACAAGAAGGCGTGTGCTTGAATATTCAAGTGTAAGAGCTGTAGCCAGTTAATCTACAATGACTCCTGGATAATTCTGACAGATTGTTCTTGTCATATTTTATGAATTCAGGCATTCATCAATCAGCACACCAAATATTATTTTGACAAATATCACGGCTACTGGATTGGCCTCTCTGAAAAAGCAAACAAATGGATTTGGACCACTGGTGCCATACTTAATACAACGTAAGTCTCTTTCTCTCTATAAGTAAAGCTCATTTTTGATAAACCGTGAAAAATAATGATAAGTATTATTAAGTTATTCAATTACAATATTTTTCCCTTCTTTGTGTTTTAGGTTTTGGACTGGAAATCCCTACCCGGGTTACAAGTACTGTGTTCTCTCAATGCCCAGCAATAATCCACTGAAAAGCTGGACGTCAAATTCCTGTGGCATGAAAAGCAAATGGATCTGTGAAGTAGAAGCTTTTACTTGGCCAACCTTTCTTCAAACCCACCAAAACCAAAGTGACCCCTTAACATGAAAACCGGAAACTGAAGTTTTACAGCTTTTAAACATGACTCTATGTGAAAGCTTTGTCCTTGTTCTTTTGATAGTAATATATATTTATAATGTTGCATCTTTATATTGTTGTTTGTGAAATGTTTTTTTTGTTCAATAAATGATTTGACAAATTGCAGTCGTTTTTAATAAAAAAAAAAAACACTGTTTTTCAATCACAGCATGTTTGTAGTGATTGGCAGTTGATGTCACATTGTTATTTATACACACAAAAATGTGCAAATCCAGCTCTTAAAAATGCTCATATTTCATGTCGCCTCCGAGTCTCCAGATTTAAAAAAAGGACCATCATTTGTAAGTAAATAAATATGAGTGCTGCATTACACAAACTGATCTGAACACAGTTATGTTTGTTGTGTCTCCAGCATAGGATTCTGCTCATCAGCCAGCATCTACAGCAGTGGTCACCAAACTTGTTTCTGGAGGGCCGGTGTCCTGCAGATTTTAGCTCCAACCCTAATCAAACACACCTGAACAAGCTGATCAAGGTTTTACTAGATAAACTTGAAACACCCAGGCAGGTGTGTTGAGGCAAGTTGGAGCTAAACCATGCAGTGTACCGGACCTCCAGGAATGAGATTGGTGGCCCCTGATCTACAGCATAGGTCTCAAACTCAATTCCTGGAGGGCAGCAGCTCTGCACACTTTTGCTGCAAACACAGCTGATCCAAGGTGTTCAGTGGTTGGAGCTAAAATCTGCAGAGCTTCGGCCCTCCAGGAATTGAGTTTAAGACCACTGATATACAGTGAGTTCAGGATCAAGCAAGTTCATTCTTTACTCTTTTTCTTTGGCACTGCCTCCATCACATCTTCAACATTCTCCAGCTCCTTGTTTTTTCCTCGTTTCTTTTTCTTGTTCTTCCTCCTGCTGTTCTCTTGTGTGTCCATGATCAATGCTTCATTATTAGTGTCCTCTGTCACATCCACCGAGTTCTCAGATGCTTCAAGTTGCTCAAAATTCCTTTTCTTCTTTTTCCTTTTTGAGGGTAATTCAGAGGCGAGTTGATGCTCAGTACTGCCCTCCAGTGGTAGCTCACCATGTGCTTCTATGTGATCCTCACTGGCCTCGTCTGCTGTCTCAGGAGCCACTTTAGACCGTTTCTTCTTCTTTTTCTTCTTCTCCATGCTTTCATTTATCGGCAGAAATCTCTCGCTTTCCTCTGATTTGGGTTCAGCCTCTTCATTCACATCTTCACTGCAGTGATTTGGACAATCCTGAGGCGCTTTTTCTTTGTGCTTTCTCTTTTTCTTCTTCTGCTTAGTATTTTCTGTCATATCATCACTCACAGAAGCAGCATCTGATACTTTGCTCTTTTTGGATTTGTCATCTTCAACTGTATCATGGCTGTTGTCCTCCTCTAAAACTTCTTCCTTCTTTTTTGACTTCTTGCGTTTGGTTTTCTCTTTACCCTCTGAATGTCTCTCAGTGTTTAGATGCTCGGTGTTGTTAGTGGATGTTTCAGCAGTGTGCTTTTTCTTCCCATATTTGTTGATGAACTCCTGCTCCTGCTGCTCTAGTCGGGCCAGTTTGGCACTCATAGTGAGTCCATGTCTGGCTCCTCTGTTCACACAACACAAACAAAATATTTTGACTGTTTTAAATAATGTTTTACACAAAGAGTGTTGTTGGTTTACAAGGAAATCAAACAAGCATGATCCTGTTGCACTACTACACTTGATTTTGGTTTTAATGTAAAAGAAAATGAGAATCTGAAATATTTTATGCCACACTTCAAAAAATAAAGAGGATTTAGTGTTCAAAAATGTTTCATTTTTATTGTTTTTTTTTTTTAATTGCTTTTTCACTTCATATTCTCATAGTATATGTATTAAGTCCAGTACTTTTACCATAAACTGACAAATCAACCATTTGGTAGTGGTTAATATTTTGGAAATTATGGGATGTGTAAAAAAAAAATAGATTGAGTGTGTTAACTACCGACATTAAGAGTTTAGAAATGCAATCCAAACATTTATTTTCTTGCTGGGGCAGTTAAAGGGTTAATTAAAACACTTAAAATCGTACATCTTAAATAAAATAAAACTATTAATCTAATACAAGATAAATCTAAGCTTATTTATAGATTCTACAACAACAGCATACAAAACACCAATGAAAAAGAAACATATCTGGCACACAGTGCTGTTAGAGTGAAACTATATCTAATAAAATAATAAATTATTCATTCACACCAAGCTGCAAAAAGGATAAAACACTGTGCATTTGCATACTAAAATAAATTATACAAGTAAATAAAAGATATATACACACAATCGAGAAAATGAAATTACTCTAAAACTGAAGCAACAAAAACTAAATCAAATGTCAAATATACTGACTATGAGTATATAATACACTTAAATAAGAAAAAACATCTGACAGGCTATCACTGTACATTTAAACTAAAACTACTAACACAACTGTTAACTGAAGTACAATATAAATAAATATGTATACATATATCAACTTTTAGGTTTAAGCTAAATTAAAAATGCAGATTTAATAATATGCAATATTAAATGATTTGCAGTTAACTGAAATAAACCTCAAATAATAATAATAATAACATTTTTTAAAATATCGCCTTGGAAATGCGTTTACACTATTATACTGATTAAATATTAAAGCTAAAAAACTAAAACTTGCAACAAATAACATTTACAAACTAACACAATTGCATAAACAAAAAATAATCTAATTGAAAATGTGTATTAATGTATTGTCTTAATTGCAAATGAATAACCTATAAAATCATTAATATTACAATGAAATGTTTTCCTTGATTCTTCTTAAACCGGTAACACTTAAAATAAGGTTCATTAGTTAATGTGTTTACTAACATGAACTAATCATGAACAACACTTGTACAGCATTTATTAATCATAACTGAACATTTACTAATTAACATTAGTTAATGCACCATGAGTTAAAATGAACTAATAATGAACTACTGTTTTCATTAACTAACGTTAACTAGCATGAACAAATACAGTAGTAAATGTATTGTTCATTGTTTGTTCATGTTAGTAAATGCATTAATTAACATTAACTAATGAACCTTATTGTAAAGTGTGACCCTTAAACCTTAAATGTCTAACTCAAATGTGATGGGAATGCATCAACGTTAAGAGTTCTTACAGTATTATTTATATAATTTTAACTATTAGGAATTAATATATTATTACATTAGTGCAGATAACAATATTGTAAACGTACTTGTGTGCTGTTCGTCCTCCACAAGCTTTCAGCAGATCTGCATCAGACAGCCTTAAATCAGACACAGAAATACACAGATGAGGGAAAACTAAAAAACACCATCTTGAAGTTCCCTTGTTGGACATTTAGTAATAGTAATATTGGCAGCTCATACTTAGTAGTGGTAGACAGGTCGAGTTTCTGGTCCTCGTCTTCAGAAGAGCTGCTGCTGTCGTCTTCTGCATCACTGATTTTCTCTGGCTGTTCTTCTCCTGACAGTAGCGTAGCAGACTAACAGAGGAAACAGATTTTTAAACATTCATTCATTCACACATGCTTCTTGAAAATACAACTGAATTGTATTTTTTTCCATTTATTATTTGTGCTGTTTGTGGTTTTGTACCTTGACAAAACATCCATAGAGCATGGACTTGGCTTGCTGAGCTTTGCGTGGCTTCTTGTTGGAGATCAGTCCATCACTGCTGTCATCTGATTTCTTCACCATCACACCATTCTGACGCATAATAAACAACATCAAATGAGCCCGCATTACAAACTACAACATGCTGCATATTACACAAACCAACTCTATGCCAACATTTTTTTAGTATTCACTTAAAGATCCAGACTGTTTGAGAAAATAAATAAATAAATAAACCATAGACACTTTTTTGGACATTGTAAAATTGCATTCAATCCTCCTCATTCCTTACCTGCCCCGATTCCACTACCAGACCAGACGAGGCTTTGTTAAAAACATGGTCCCACCAGTGGAAACTAAACTGCTCTCCTTGCTTATGGCCCATCTGAAGACAAATGATACATGAATAAAAACAAAATATACATTTAAGGACTTTTGATTAGACCTACAATGCTGTACTTTATCTAAAACAGTTTTTGGAAGTAAATCATGTAGAATTATTATACAGTTTTCATTGTAATAATAATATTGTTGTAGTTCATTTTAAAGTTATGTTTGGTTCTTTGTGGTCAAACCTAGACAAATAATTATATTGAAATAAATGTACTGGAATAAAAAATATAACAATAATTGTACTTGAGTTCATTTAGCATTTTCTTTAATAAAGAAAAAAATCGTAATGAAATCATACATAACAATACCATATAAAAGATATACAGGCTGTGTCCCCTAATTAGAGAGAACAGGGTTTTCTGACATAATTAGTTAATTAGGTTCTGATTTTACATACACAGACTATCAATAATAGCTTTTGCCAAAGTTCAGAAGCAATGTTACGGAATTGAACAAGAATGGTAATCAGAGCTTTAGGCTGAAATCTCTGGCTCAACTTATTAGAAAGATAGTAGAAATGTTTTAAGTGCACTCTTGATGACGTCTTTAAATTTTAAGCACACACAGGTTTTTTTTTTAAACAAATTCTAAAGCTTTTACAAATAAACAAACATTTGTTTTCATGTCTTGGTGAGGATATTTCATAGACTTCCATTTTATTTGTATCAAATTAATGACACCTTCAATGGCACAGGTGTCAAACTCAGTTTCAAAAGGGCCGCAGCTCTGCAGTTTAGTTCCAACCCTAATTAAACACACCTGATCAAACTAATTGAGTCCTTCAGGCTTGTTTGAAACCTACAAGTAAGTGTGTTGGAGCAGGGTTGGAAACTAAACTGTGCAGGGCTTCGGCCCTCCAGGAATTGAGTTTGACACCCCTGTTCTATGGTTTGTGAACCTGCAACAACATAAAACGTCTTGCCCGTGTTGTCAACTACCCACATGTTGCACGCAAAATAGAGATCTTAATAAAAATCGTTTTGTCACTCACCCCTCCTTTATCACATTTAACTTTGACTTTAATCGCCTCTGAAATGCCATTCTCTGCTCTGCCCAGACCTTTACCTACAACACACACACACACACACACAACCATAACACACCAGTGAGGATTGGTCCGTCTATGGCGGACGAAGCGTCATAATCAATCATATCTGCCATGAGTTTGTGATGAATCATGAGCACAACAAATATATCGTGCTTTTACCCTTTTCCCATCCGTGTCGTAGAAGCTGCTCCTCAGCGAACTTTAGTCCTGTACTCTTTTCTTGGACCGTTTCTGCCATGAATTCTTAAACTCTGCACTCGAATATGAAGGTAAAACACATCAGCCAACTGCACATTGACAATATTCGTTAATTCTGAGTATTTTAGCTGTTTACTTCTGTAAATCGTAACAGCTTACTAAAATAAAAAGAAGGGAAAAGACCAACAATCGCTACCACGCGCTCAGCAAGAGAGCAGGCATGACACCGGCAACTACGGGAAGTGACAAGGGTCACTGATGACGATTAACCAAACGCGTTTTGGCATAAAATGGATTAAATAAATTTTGCGTGTGTACGTTCTTTTAAAAACATACACACCATGCATCTTCATTAGATTTTAAATGATTACAACTTATTTAAAATCTAATGAAAATATATGTAGTATAATCACATTGTTTTAATAATTTTAACCTTTTGATGCACAAGCTCCAAAATAGATATAGAAAAAATAACCTTAGACCCGTCAATTTAGACCCATGTGGTGCATCAAAAGGTTAAGAACAGGCGAGAATAAATATTGTATTGTAGAATAAATATACAGAATAAACATTTAATATTTACACATCTTCCACAATATTACGATGAAAGCGCTTTTCACATATATCATGCTATTAATAGACTTTCAGTGGATTTCAAATCCCTTGTAAATAAAATTTATTGTGAACCTCAAAATGGAACAGTCATCCTTCACTGCATAATGTTTAATCATGTTTAATTCAGACTCAAAACATGGTATAAATAGTCATTTTATTATTTGGATTACCAACAACTGTGCGCCATTCTCAAAACTAACATCTGAAGCAAAATAAAAACAACAAAACCACCCTGATATAAAAATACTGTACATGCCATATGTTCACATATTCACAGAATATACAATCAACCTGTCAGAAACCATGGAGGTGAGAATATGCTGGTTAGTGCTCTACAATTTCTCTGCTATCAAACATCTCATTTTGTGCTAAGTGAGAGCCTGTCATTTGTCCAATTACAATACAATAATCAGGGATAAAATGGAGCAGTTTGTGCTACATTTCTTCAATAATTATGTTGGTTTTGTGTTTAGAACGTGACGGATAGCACCTTCATATGATGGATTTATACTTCACATGTTAAAAGGAGGCCAACAGAACCTTTTTTTCCACCATGCTTAAAACACATCTTTGGCAGGTGTCAGTGTAAGAAGAACTGCATAAGTATTTTTTAATGAAGCAGTCAGAAGGCAGGGTTCAGTCCTGCTCTTCATCAGTGGCCGACTGCTGCTCTGCAGCCTCGTCCTCTGAACTGGCCTGAGAAGCTGACGTGTGGAACAGACGCATTAAATCCCGAAATCTCCTTGAAACCTGCACACACAATCATGTTAAAAATGCACTTTTTTTCTGGTTCCCCATTTTTTTAAGAAAAGATTGCTTTTGCTGAACGCCCTTGTACTCATCATTTAGGGCTTGCGCATGTGTTGTTTGCAGTAAAAACTGACGGGAAACCATAGTTGTATAACACTTTTTTACAATAAATCTAATGTAGTGTGGTTTTTCATAATAAACATTTACATCTCTCTGATGGACCTTTTAATTCCATATAAAACAAATACTTCAATTACTGTTTGTTTACAAGTAAATAACTTTATATAAGGACTCTCAAAATGTCAAATACAATTTCAAGTAATGTTGAGAAAGAAAATACACTATCAGTGAAAAGTTTGGGGTCAGTTTTTTTTTATTATGAATAAAATTATTCTCTTTATCAAGACGGCATTTATTAAATGTAAAAAATATTGTTAAATTGTGAAATTTGTAAATTAGTGCCTTTATAACTATTACCATTAATAATAATAATAATAATAATAATAATAATTGACATTAGAGTCATTTCTGAAGGATAATGCAACTGAAGAATGGAGTAATGTAGCTGAAAATTCATTTTTAAAATCACTGGAATAAAATATTAAAGTATGAACTACTTTTGCAGTCATTTTATAGATTTTACAATATGTACTGTATTTATGATGCAAAAAATGCAGCCTTGGTGAGCAGGAAAAGCTTATTTTAAAACATTTAAAAATCCTACTGACCCCAAACTTTTGAATGGCAGTGTAACCTCTGAAGTGCACAAAAGAAAGGCTAAACTAGCTTTTGATGAATCAAAGATCAGTGCAGTGGAAAGAGATTTGTAACTCTGGTACCTCGCTGGCTGTTTTGTTGCCAAGCTGCTCGGACACGGCCTGGAATGTGCTCTGACTGGCTCCTTGCTGCTGACAGGTGGTAAGGATCACTCGATCAGCCTCCCTGTGAACCAGATTATAAATGTATAACACAAGCTCCAGCTGATGATGCTCACAGATGTGTGTGTGTGTGTGTGTGCTCACCTGGTCCACAGGATGACTCTCTCTCCAGTGGGTGTGAGGGAGATGTTTTTGGCACACACGGGTGCGTCTAAGGCTGGGCTCAGTGAGCTCTGCTGAGCGGCTTCTGTCTGTCCAGATTCAGCTGAATCCTCTTCATCTCGGCTGTGCTTCTCTGGTGACGCATGGTGGTTCTTCTCTTCAGTTTTTTCTTCATCATCTTGGTTATGTGTGTTTTGCTCCTCTGGAATGGAGGAAGTGGCTCTCTCTTCTCTCTCCCACACAGACCCTTCCCCATCTGCAGAAAAGACGATTTCAAAGAAAAGATTTGTGTTTACTTGAGCTGTAGTTTCAATAACGTCAAATAACAAATGATAGATTATGAGGTGGTCACAATACCAAGTATAATGGTCTCCGTCATCCTTTGGTTAATATGGAGCCATTTTAAAAGGAGCAGTGATGTTTACAATAGCATCCAAGCATTTATGTATCAATCATTTATTTGTCTAACAAACGCTACAAACAAAATATGGTCAAAAAACTGTTTCCCTGATACTCCTGCCAGCTGATCACCTGTGTACCCTTACTTAAGCAGGTGAGCTGACGTGAAATGTAGGTGGCGCTAATCCATATAATTAAACAACTCGATCCGTGACAGAATAATACAGCATAATATTATTAATCTTAACTATTCAATAATCATACAACAAATAAACAAAGTATAAATTATATAAAATCACAAATGGCTTCAAGATCAAGAAATCTGTTAATGAACATTCCTACTTGTCATTCATTTCTGTAATGAGAAACTGCATTTTCAGAAACCAGTGATAAGTGATCCCTATGAAATCATTCTAACATGTCATGCTGATTTCTTATAATTGTAGAAAATCTGCTTCATTTTCTAAAAACAATATAGATTCAAAACTTGCAACATGTAAGAAATAAATTAATTAATAATAATTAAGAAAAAATAATTTAAAATTAATTAATAATTTAAGTATTATTAATAAATAATTAATAATTTAAGTGAAGTTTATTCATAAACTAATTTCCAGAGGATCATGTGCTTATGATTAATCACGGCTGGTCCCGCATTATTCAATTTATGATTCACAAATCAGACGACTCCTAAGTCTCCTTAAATAACCAATGTTCCATACCATAGTCATCTTCATTCTGGAGAATCCCTCCTTCCTCCCCTACTCCTCCTCCTTTCCTAGATTTACGGCACGGCCCAGTGGTTAGCACTGTTGTTCCACAGTAAGAATGTCACTTGTTCAAGTTCTTACCAGGCTAGTCGATGTTTCTGTGTGGAGTATACATGTTCTCCCCGTGCTTGCGTGGGTTTCCCCCGGTTTCCAAAAACATGCAACTTAAGTTTATTGACATGCTCCTAGGAAGTAGTTATATATTCATGACAATCTCTAATTGCTTACTAGCTTTAAAGGGCCATGACACCCCCCACTTTCGGTTAAAGTCTACTTCAGAGTTTTTTCAAAAGATGCATGATAAATGGGCATGGAGCTCCGCGAGCATCGGGCAGGAGTGGGCGTAGCCAGCAGGGGAGAACGTGAGCGAACAACTGTTGTTGTCAGTAGGCTCACAAAATGAGACAAACCGTGAGGAGACGCATGAGTTTATAGTTTACAAAGTTAAAATGCAAAGAAATTAACAGTGATTTAATGCCCTGCTACATTTGTTATTTGTAATTTCATATAAACATAACAACAATTTATATCATTATAAAGATAAGTGTGTTCATGTAAACCCTATAAATGAGGACTTCTCCCTTAATCCCCGTATCCAGCAGACTCAGTGCAGTTTTACTCAGTTTTAACCATTAGCCCTGCTGGTAATCTGGAGGATTTAGGCAAACACAGCAGCACAGTGATGTGTCTGAATGTGAACAAACTCCTGATAAAAGACAGCGTCTGCCATTCTCTAATTCTCATGCTGCTCTCCCGACAAAAATGCTAGCAGCACACACACAGCTTTGCTGTATGTTCGGCCCTGACAAGATCGCGTTGGAAAACATGCAACAAAGCCCGTGGATCATGGAAACAAACGCATATGAGCCTTCATGAACGGCTAACTACTGTGTGCCGTAGGTCCTTGCCTCACAGCTCGGGCTTGACTCTGGCAGGTCTAATGAATAATTAAGCAGCCGGCTCTTCTCATAGGATAAGAAAACTCCGCTATGAATAATAATGAGAAAGCGACGCGTCATCATTGCACTTGCAGTACTGCGCTACGTCGCCGATTTTGATCCCGCCCCAAAAATCATTTTAAACCCGGAAGCTGAAATTAGCTGACAAAAGCTCAAAATTATCCAGTTTTCCCCACAATTAAAGCTGATCGTGCTAACATTGTCTTAACTGATGCTCAACACACACAAATCTGTTAATATATAAAAAAAAGTTCTCCAGGGTGTCCTGAACCTTTAAACAGCAGGGCAGTTCTTGAGATCTACCTGAGCTCAAACTCCCCTCTTGCCCTGCATACAGGAGGGAGCCACAGGCTTGAGAATCTTATGAGCTCAGGGCTCTCCCCTAAACAGCATGCCAAACACGCTTTATAATCATTCATCAGCTAAGTGTGAACTCTTGAAACTTTAAAGAATCATTAAAATCAAGTGTAACTTTTTTACCATGATGTGGACTGTTAGCTCCACTGCCAGTCTCGTCTTTAAGCTCTTTCTCTGCCTCTCCATCCTCTCCCAGCACTCTTTCCTCTTCCTTTTCCTCTCCTCCTCTTTCAGACTGTGCATCGGCAGATGAAAATGCTGAATCACGACCCTTCAGCACCTTTGAGCCATTAGCAGCCTGACAAAACAAATAATAAAATCCTCCTTAATGAGAAAACTAGGAAACAATGTCTATCAAAACACCTCCTATAAAAAAGCCTGACTATTAGACGTTTTCCAAAACATTTGGTAACACTTTATTTTGATGGTCCATTTGAGTATTAGTAGACTGTCTGCTTAATATTTGTTGATACTGCTCCTTCAACTGACATATAACTGACTATAAGAAACTTTGCAAGTACATGTCAACTTCAGGCTGATTTATACTTCTGCCTCAAACACTAGCGTATGCTACAGCGCTGACGCATAGCCCTTCGCCGTGGCTGTGGCTGTCACTGACGTGCACCTCTCAAAAAATGCTCTGTGATTGGTTGGCTTGGTAGCGCTGACGAGTCTGGGCCGGACCCAGAGCCGCGCGAATGGCGCGAACCCAATGTAGCAATTGTGTACAAGTGTGGAGTCCCGTGAAGGAGCTCCGGATGGAAAGTTTTGTTTTGTGTTTACCTCATAGTTAAAGTTGCTGCACGTCCGCCGGTTGCTGCCTCAAAATGAGCGAGTTTGAGCCACTTGTACATCCCGGAAGTGTTCAGGAAAAGCAAAAAAGCAGAGAAGAAACTCGACACAGAGGAACATTTACACCTCACTGCCAACTAGCGTTTCAGAAGTGTTAATGCAGACCAACAGAGACAGCGCGCAGAAGTATAAATGCACAGCCACGCGCCTTGCATGCGCCGTGGGTTATGCCGGTCACTTGACGCAGAAGTATAAAGCAGGCTTAACTCTTAACCCCAACTCTATCATCAACCTAACAGTCTTCTTAAATTCAACAAACGGATCATCAAAATAAAGTGTTACCAAACATTTTATATCAAAACCAAAACTAACATGCACCTTGTTGCTCTGACAACGCAAGCATCCTTTTCTCTTATGCCTTCGATGTTTGGCATCATGAACGGAGTCATGACAGGAACAGGAACAATCTTTCTCAGGCCAATCACAGTCCTGAAAAAAAGCACAAGATTAGCATCTTAACAAAAAAAAAAAAAAAAAGAGGGAAAACAGCTGTAATGAAGCAAATGAAGACACCTTGTATGTGTGCAGTTCTTTTCTCCTCTTGCTTCTGCTGCTTATCTGTCTGATCTTGTGTGACTCTTCATCCTCATCCAGATCGGGGAGCGTGACCTCCTCAAATCCTCCCCATACACCTCCTCTAGAGGTCACACTCACGCCTGCTTCTCCATCTGTCCCAGTGGCCACATCCTCTGGCCAAACAGCCTCTTCAAACTGGCCTGGACGTGCTGGTGGTGGACGCATCTCATCAAAAAACATCCAAAACTCTCCCTGAAGGTGTGTGTGACCCTTCAGAAGAGTGGCCATCTGTGTTTTCAGCTGAGTTACAAAAGCAGAAATAAAGCGATTTTACAGGACAAATCTGGACAATAAATAGTATAAAGGCTGGAATTCAAACTCTGAAAGTCAGGAAAAGAAGAGGTTCACCCACTAAATAAGTACAACACTTTGAAACTTGTGCTGCCACTCACAAAAAAATCTCTAATAAAAAAACATTTTAATGATTTTATATTGTTGATAATGAGTAATAAATAAACCCTGGACTTAAAGATTGTGTAAGTAAAACCTTTGAAGTTAAACTCTGTCAACAAGTCTATAGACCTTATTCTGCGATGCGGAAGTGTGCTGGTTTTTGCAATTGTTTATGAACTTCCGATTCAGCAGCCTATGGGAGAAATTACTAGGAATAATAAAAGGCAGAAAATGGTCAAACTACAAACAAATATGTCCATGATTATACAGACAAAACAGAATCATACAATAAGAAAATATCAGTTTGCAACATCAAGCAGTGTAACGAGCTGTTTTTAATGTCTAAAAATGAATGCAAGTGAATGAAACCAAAAGTCTCGAGCCAAAAAGATTCAAATGGCTGCACCTACTCCTATGAAAAGAATAAGGTCAATACGTAAAAGAATAAGGTCAATACGTAAAAGAATAAGGTCAATACGTAAAAGAATAAGGTCAATACGTCAATACGAGAGCTGTATGATCATACAGATGCTGTTTTGTCAACTACAGAACCTCATACACAGACATTGTTCATTCCTTGAGTGAACTTCTTTAATGCATAATAAATGTTAAGAATAACTATTTTGGACTGCTATCTTGAACTTGTAGTGTCTGGTTGGTTTAATGTCATTAAATTGTAAATGACACAAAACTTCACTTACATAATCAGATATTCCTATATATAATCCTGGTCTCTTTATTTAGTTAGGGCGTGCATCCATCGTTTATGAAGGCATCCAGCATAAACTGAAAGCTATGTGTCCGATACCTTTGAAAGTGTAAAGCTGGTACAGTGGACTTGTCAGGTCACAGAAATGTCTAAAAAGTGATCATGCAGAAGTGTCATGCTGCTTCATTTTACTCTCTTTACTTCATACATCATCTTAAGTTGAACAGATCCGATTCAATGATTTATGCTAAGCTATGCTAAAAGTGCACCTTTCAAACTCAGAGATTGGCTGAATGGTTTAAAAAAATGTTGAAACCCAACTGTTTTACTCTAGGGGAGTTGTAAAATGAGCCTATATTCTAAAAAAGTGAACATTTGATCTATATTGAAGTCATAATTGTAAGAAAAAAAGCTATCATTAACCTTTTTTGATCCTAATAAGTTACTTTATGAAGTAAAAAGAGTACTGTTACTTAAAACAAAGTATCATTATTTTTAAATATTGCACTGACCCCAAACAGTACAGCATTTCAGTAGGACAATACAAAAAAAAAAAAACTTTAATAATGCATCTGTGCAAACCTCTTCAATGCCAGCAGGACTGAGAGGACTTCCACTCTGCAGGGCTCTGACAATCTTCTGATAATGAGAAGGATTTTCCCCAAAACTGATCTCCAGCTGACGCAGAAACCGCCGACTCCTCTCAAAGGCCTGCTGCTCCTCAAACTGTGGACACGGAATACAAAGGATACAGTTTTATTTTCTTTTTCAACTCTGACATTAATCAAATCTATGCATGCCTATAATATGATTGTAAGTACCAGTCCACACTCCAGCGCTTGTTCGGGCAAAAGGAAAGCAGCAAAGTCCTTGAGCAGCTCAGGCCAGTCCTTGAGCAGCTGTTTAAGCTGGGCAAACAACTCTATAACACTGTGGCTCTCTCCGGCTTGGTCAAACTCATAAAGCAGACCTAAAAACTCCTCCACTTTTCCTGGGACATCTTGTAAAGCCTCACGTACCTACAAAAGCAGACGAGACAAGACAATTTGAGTTTCTCTAGCCAATAGTGTATTAAAGATAGCCGGTGAGATGAAATGAGATGCTCATATGATAAAAGTCTGACCCTGTTGAGATAAGCCTGTGCGTAAGCCATGTCTTTGCTTTCTCTCATTGGGTCATTATCCAAGATGTGGTCATCATACAGCAGGAGCAGCTTTGAGGCATCTTTACTGCCTCGTTCCTGACGTCGCCCACGTTTTAAACTGCGCGGAGGAGGGCGACCACGACCTGGAAAAGTAAATCAATTGAATATTTATTAAATTGAATATTTTACCTTGGATTAAAGACTTAACAGTGGCACAAAGATAGATTTTGTGACAGCTGACCTCTTCCACGGCCTCCTACTTTCTCGCTGATCTGTGGAGGATCATCACCCGCTGGGGCGTCCCCCTCAGGAAGCTTTTCGCCTTCTCCCTCCCCTGCTTCCAGCTCATCACCCTTCATCGCCCCATCATCCTCATCCTCCGAGTTCTCTTCCTGAGAATTCTGCGATGCTGGGGAGTTCTGGGAGTTGGGGGAAGTCGGGGATGTTGGGGACGTGGGTGAATTGTCCTCCTCTGAGTCACCCTCTCTGCACAGTCTCCTCTCTGATGCCAGCCAGGTCAACTTCTCCATCGTCTCCTGCAGAAGAAACAAACATGGAGCAATTTAATAAAGCTAAATTCACCCACTTAAATCATACCTGTCACAACCCTCCCGTTTTTCACAAAATTCTCCCGTATTTTACAATTCGATCCCGCTATCACCCCGTATTTTACCATATTTCTCCTGTATTTTCAATGTTTCTATGAAAAATGGCAATAAACAAAGAGCTGATCCTCCCTATATGCAAACCTTATAACCGAACCACCAGGGGACGGCCCTTGCTCTTAAATGTCATTTTATTTAGGCATTAAACACTTTGAAATAAATACATAAACAACCGGATTCCCTTCCTTTCCATTACAGGCGCCATTGCCCCTCCTATGCAATCCTTAAAACAGTTCATGTAGCAGTGCATGACTATGAGACGCGCTCTATAGTGATAAATAGAGGCTGTTTCCCAAATGGATTCTTTACATGCGATTTGAAGTGGAGCAAAAGTGGACACTCTGGGTTTTGGGCATGTCTTTGAACAGACATTTACACACAATAATAATAATAATAATAATAATAATAATAACAACAACAAAAACAACATATAAACGCCGATGTTGGTGGGTTTTCTTTTGATCAAAACAAATTTTGTTTTAAATGAGCATTTTGAAAGCAATCGAATGCTTTCATCATTAATCTGTGCATTCATTCATTCTTTGCTCTTTAATCAGAATGTTTAAGTTATACAGTGAAGAAGAAGACTATTAATTTAAATAGGCTAAACTGCTACTTTATTTGCAGCTTTTTCTAAAGTATATTACTTATTATTTTTAACGCTTCATTTCGATTTGACTGTAAAATCCTAAAAATATTTAGTAACTATAATAGTTATGGGCTGATATTTAAACTAAACATTTTATAGGGCTTTATAGGGATTATAGGGATTATTTTACCTTTTAAAACATTTTTTAGTGATCTAAATCTTCCTTAAATTAAAACAGCTGTGACAATAATATTAATAATAATAATAGTAATTTATAATAATTTCAGTTTTTTTTTTAACAAAATCATTTAGAGTGATCAATAGTTCAAAAATGAAAATATATATTAACATATAAAGAGTTTAGATATTTAGATATAGATATTTAGATAGTTTAGCATATTTTCTTCTAAAATTAGCATTTTTCTTAGACACTTGAGAGTAGGCTCAGTAATTTTACTTTTATAGTGATGAATAGGTTGTTTTCATTGGATTTAAAGTGAAATAAGTGAAGACAAATGTAAATTTCAGACGGCCTTTAGAGGCTTTTGCATCTGAACTCTTCATATGTATATTAATTAATATTAACATAAATTTTAACGACAACAGATATTAAGTTTTAATTAATTAAGTTTTAATTAATTAACAGTTTAATTAAGTTTTAACGATAACATGTAAAGTGATAGTTTATGCAAAAATGAAAATTCTGCCATAATTTACTTATCTTCAACTTCTTGTAAACCTGTTTGAGTTTTTGTCTTCCACTGATCACAAAAAAAAAAGATATTTTGAAGAATGTTGGAAACTGGTAGCCATTGACACTCATTGTATATTTTTGTTCCTATTATAGATGTTAATGACTAACGGTTTTCAACATTTATTCATTTTCTTTTTGGCTTAGTCTCTTTATTAATCAGGGGTTGCCACTGCGGAATAAAACTGTCAACTTATCTAGCATATGTTTTACACAGCGGATGCCCTTCCAGCCACAACCCACCACTGGAAAACATCCATACACACTCATTAACAAACATACATTACAGTTTTTAAACTTGTGGGGGAAACCGGAGCACCTGGAGGAAACCCACATGAACATGAGGAGAACATGCAAACTCCACATAGAAAGGTCAACTGAAACCAGCCAAGGCTCAAACCAGCGACCTTCTTGCTGTGAGGCGATTGTGCTACCCACTGCGCTACCAGTTTCCAACATTCTTCAAAATATCTGTTTTGTGTTGAAGGGACATTTATTATTATTTTTTCTTTTATATTAGACAAAAGAACTCAAAACAATAAATGGTAAACCGGTTCTCATTATTGGGTGTACTATCAATTTAAGCATTTATCAATCATAACATTGGTGCATTTAAAAAATCATCATAAATAGACATTTTAACTTATTGTCCTTTAAATGTTTTAATACAAAAACAAACCTGAAGTTCTGGAACAGACAGCACGGATTCCTCAGATGCCGATGACATCACTTCCTCCTCATCTTCATCCTGTGTGAGGTCATCGAAATCCTCCTCTTCCTCATCTCGCTCTCCATCTCCATCTTTCTCTCCATCTCCATCCTTCTCCTCCCTTCCTTTATCACCACTTCCACCCTCGTCCCGTTTTCCGTCCCCTTCTCCATCCTCGTTCTTTTCTCCTCCTTTATCTTCATCCTGCGCTTCATCTTTCCTACTCTCGCTCTCCTCAGCCCGTCCCTCCTCATTCCCACTGTTCTGCTTCTCTCCTCCACTGGACTGTTGCTCTTTCTCATCTCCGCTGCTGTGTTTGTGCACATCCGGTGTTTCCTGTGTTGCGGAGGCTGAGTGTACAGAAGGAAGCTCTCCATCTTCCATCTCCACCCTCACCATGGCATCACTGCCACTGTCCATACTTGCATCTGGGCTGGAGTCAGGACTGCAGGAGGACTCAGAAAGCGCCAAAAGAGGACTACCAAACAAAGCACTGGCCATCTCCTCTTCCCATCTGTCTCCAACCATTTCCTCATCCACCTCCTGTCTTTCTCCATCTTCCTCTCTGCTAACTGGCAATGATGTGGTTGGGTTGTTCAAATGTACCTCAGTCTTCTCTGAGTTCTTCAGGGCTGTTGAGGTAGTAGAAATGTCTAAATGAGAGGTCTGCTGCGAAAGATTTTGCAATGTGCCTTCAGAAGGAAGTGAAGCAGGTTGGTTCAGGACAAGGGAGTCCTGGGGCAGAAGTAGGAATTGAGGAGGCCCAGTAGGAGAAACAGTCTGAACCAGCACAAACTGAGAACTGTCCACTGCAGCTGGTGCTGCGGTCTGAGGAGAAAATACAGTCCTTTGACCATTCTCGCCACTGGATTGAACTGAAGGGATGTCTTTTGCAGTTTGTGAAACGTCTGATCTCGGTGTTGTCTTTCTAGGGAGGGAACTTGTGGTGTTTTCAGCAACCTGTGTTTGAGGAACTAACTGTACAACCAGATCCGGAGACAGAGAAGGGACCGTTCTGTGTGTGTTGACATTTTCATGGGCTTTGATAACTATAACGTTATCTGATTGAAGGTTGTGTGGGACATTCAAGGATATTTGCTGATCTATAATGATGCCAGGGTTGCTTATGTTTCCAATACTCCCAGAAGAAAGGGGCAGCAGTCGGGGCAGCTGAGGGGCTGGTCTCAAAGGGGCCAGTTTTCTAGGCATGGTACGCTTCTTGTGTTTGTCTGATGTCTGTTGCTGCACGCCATGGGTCTTGACTGTCCCAGTACTAAGTAGAGGGACGTCACATTGGGGTTTCTGAACTACCGAGGGGGGTAAATTCGCAGGAAGGTGTGCTGGATTACTTGCACCCAATTCTGGAGAAAGATAATGGAAGTTAATAGGATAGGAAGCGTTTAGTGGGACTGTCCCATGGGCTGGGGTCAAAGAGGGATGGACTAATGGAAATACCCCATTTATAGGAGTGCTAGGCGCTTGGGCTAGTAATAGTACTGGTGTGGAGATATTGGTCAGTAAATGTCCTGTACCTGTGGGACACGATGGAGCTTTAGCTAACGGTGCGAGTGTACGGTTAGTAAAAGCACGCAGAATTCGAGATTTGGGCTGGGAAGGGCGACTTGCCACTTGTGATGGGTGCAAACGCAGAGAGAGACCTTTAGGGAGGAACTGTGGGTAGCGTGTTTCTTTAGGGAAAGGAAGGCTAGCAGATTTCGTGGTGGAAGTCATCGTTAAATCGCTCTGGCAAATTGACTTCTGGATCAATGGTAAGCTTTTCTGTAAAGACAAATTTGAAAAGAATAAATAAGTGAATAAATAAATAAAAATTAGGGCTTTACTTGAAATCAGACATAGCGTAAATCTATATCGGATAAAAATATTATGAGTCTTTGATGTAGTGTATGAATAACTTGTAATGTCAATTAACCCTTGTGTACTGTTCAAATTGACTACCCTTTCATTATGTTAGTGGCTGTTTTTGCTTCATTGACTTCCATCATAACGACATTTTTTCATTGCAAAGCCATGACACCATATAATCATGCACTCTTGATTGTTGGTGTTTTCCCTGTTGGGAAGAGGTCAAACTTTTCTTACTGTTGATGATCAGTTTACAGCATTAACCCTTTAGATAGGGCTGTGCAAAAATGTTTTTTGGTTTTTATATGAAGTTCTACGGAGTAAAACAGCAAATTATAGTGTCTGTGCATAAATACACTTACTACATTTACTATGTTCTGAGAGCTGAGCTGTTATTTTTTATTTATTTTTAAACATATCAAGGTAAGTGCGCAAAGGTCATTTTCACACTCTCACACAAACTATACTTCATATAACTATATAATTTTGATCCAGAAACTAAGCTTTTTTTTGCAGTAAAGTAAATAAATAAATCGATCTCTAAACAATCAAAAAATGGATTTTATGGTGTCATAGATTTGCGATAAAAAAATTTCACTATAATGGAAGTCAATAGGGCCAAAACAGCCACAAACATAATGAAAGAATAGTAAATTTGCATGTATTTGAGTATATTGTCAAATATTGTCACATTTTCCCAAAATAATAAAATAGCACCAAAAATCATTCCATTTACTTAAACACAGAGAAGTTGTGGGCAAATTAAGACAAAAAAACAAACAAAAATCACCCGAGAGTAGATGAAAACATCCCCTATATATGAAAAAATTGTATTTACTATTTTCCTAATTTCCAATTACTTTACAAAAACATTCAGTATTATCTTTGCTTGAACTGACTCGATCTAATCCTGTTTATATGAAATGAGCCTGCTCTAGTAGGTTTGAGCTACCAGAACTGTTGCTATGACAACAACTCTCGCATGAGTTTTGAAGAACAAAATGATCCTGGATCGTGTCAAATCGTCAATAACCAAATCCAGCTAATTGAGTAATCCACATACGAAGGAACGGACCCCAGCAATGTTTTTCAGATAAACAAGTATGTTGACTTAGCATATTTCTTAAATATCTGCATATTATGGTATTTTTGTGCTTTAGAAGAGTCAAAAACTTACATACAGCACCTTTAAATTGAGCCTTTTTTACGAAGAGGGAGGGTTACACTGGAGGTTGTACCTTTAGCCAGTTGGGCATGACTTCCTGTTCTCTCTCCACAGGAGGGCGCTCCTCTCCATGCACCACAGGTTTGCACACCACCGGCAAAGGAGGAACCACATGATTCTGGCAGTAATACTAGAAAATAACATTACATTGTCAAAACAATTGCAGAGCCCACATTTAATATGATTTTAATTAGGAACTTCAGAATGTTTTCAAATTAACTACACGGGAACAGGAACTTAAAAGCAGATGTCCAAGTTAACAATGCATAGGTTAAAAAACAGACACGTGAATCACCTTGATGATATTGTGTGGGTATTTGGGGGATACCATGTCCTTTACTCGCATACGCAGTTGCTCCTGACGCTTGGGCCGAATCAGATATCGGCTAATCAGTTGATATGGGAACTCTGTTTGTGCGAAGTGCTTTAAACCCAGGACTAACAAACTGTAGAGAGAGGAGAGCAGGAGAAGAGAGAGAAAAGCAAAGAGTTAAGCTACGGCTCACTGCTTTGTTAAGTGTCTGGAAGGTCATGTCAGTTGAACAGACTCATTGAAGTGCTTGTTTTGATATACGACTCAGCAAAAAGCCCATAATTAACATTTCTTACTTCACTGACCAATTTTGGCATTATGTATGTGACATTTACAGTCCAAAGGTGAAATGGGAAAAGTACTCAAACACAGGCATCAGAATAATATCAGTGTAGCTACAGAGGCATGTGTACCCGTCTTCTCCTTTGCTGTAATAATGTTTGCTGCGGGAAGGATGCAGGGCTGGATCCAGACTGCAATGTGGAAGAAGTTCTGGGTACAGAAAGACAGAGCGGGTGGCGAACAACCATGCAAGTCCAGCAGGAAGCAAAGGGTACGAATGAACTACAGAAACACAGAAAATAAACAGCATTTGGTCATGTGCTCTTCATTTGTGTCAGTTAAATTAGTATTGAGAATCCTGACCTGAGTGATGCCGGTTGGGTTTGGGAGGAAGACACGAAAGAGAAGGACTTTGCTTAACCTCCTCCAACAAGTTGATGGACGAAAGCAAATTACACACCCTAAATACACTTTTAAAACCCAGATTCACTGCTGATCTTTCCTCCTCAGCCCGCTCTGCAAATGACAGCAACTCCCCCTGTCAACACAAGAGAGGGAAAAAATTGGCAATACCACTCGCACTTATACTGCACAAAATCAAATAATGTAATAAAGAAATATAATTTATTTCTTTTTTTTTTAATAAATATTAATATACCTTACACCTTTTGAACAAAATTTTATTATAAGAACAGTTTAAAAGACGTTTTATTGTCTAAAGTGAAATTATTTTAAAACACCCCTTTCAGATCACATTATTTTTAATTTCTGTATTCTAAATGTATTCAAATCTTGGAAATTTTAAAAGAAAAAACAACATTTTAAAACTGAAAGGGAATGAGGGAGCCCAAAGAAAATCTATTTGCACTTCACGCATTTGTGCTTGAATATGCCAAAACAACAGTAGCTGCAAATTATTGTTATTATTTTGTGAGAGAAAATCAGTGTAATAAAAATAAAGATAGGTATTAAGATAATAAAATTTAGTTTAACATACAGGAGAAGCTATTTGCTCCTTCCATCTTTACAGTTTATGAGTCACATATTAAACTGGCAGAAGTAGAGAATGATGAATTTTCTTACCAAGAAATGTTTGGTGGTTTGAGCTTCAGTTTGTAGTGCCCCCACTGGGTCACACAGCATACTGACCTGGGTCAGTAATTGGACATGCTGCAGAAACAAATACAACTATAAGCAAAATTATAAAGCAAATTTAACTCATGATTAAACAGGCTTGCAGACATTTCAACTATAATAAATTACACATACAGGAAAAAAAGCGATAGCTGTTTGTGAAAAGGCTAGAACATTGAGACCAGTTAGGCCTTTTCAGTACATTAAGAATGTTTGGTGGTGTTTAAAACTGTTTAGTCTTACTTGCTGTATTTGCTGTTGCAGCTGTATCCTCTGTGCAGGTGTGACAACTAGAGGGCAGCTGGGCTGCACAAAAACCATGCCAGGCCCAGATGCATGCTGGGTAGTCCGGACCTGGTTTTCTCGCCGCTGCTGTAAAGCATCCAGCTGCTCTCTAACTGTCCGCCTGCATGCTGTCAACATGTGAGCCAGCGGCTCCTCAAACCTGATGACAGACAGAGACATAACAGAGACATAATCAATCCATCCATCCATCCATCTGCCTATCTGTCTGTCTGTCTGTCTGTCTATCTATCCATCTATCCATCCATCCATCCATCCATCCATTCATCCATCCATCCATCCATCCATCCATCCATCTATCTATCTATCTATCTATCTATCTATCTATCTATCTATCTATCTATCTATCTATCTATCTATCTTTCATCTGTTTATCTATCCATCCATCAATCATCCATCCATCCATCCATCCATCAATCATTCATTCATCCGTCTAACTATCTATCCATCCATTCATCTACCCGTCCATCCAAACATCTGACACATATACTTTAAAAATAATAATAATAAAAAAAGATTTGTGTATTTTGCAAATGTTCCTTTTCTCATTTAGACACTGAACTCCAACTTAAATTATTTAAAATATGAAATTAAACAATTTATTGTATTTTTAGCGTGTAATTTAAACTTATTTTTTTATTTTAACAGCAACCGTTAAAATAAAATTATCAGCTTTTTAAAATAGAAAGAAAAACCCTTTAAAAAGTCACTACCTTTTCATTTCACAAATTGATCTATATAAAAAAAACTGAAAAATTGAGTGGGAGACGATTTTATCAACAGTGAATTTACAAAACACTGTAAAGTGGAAACTCCATATCAGCCCAAAACCAGACCTATATGCATATGCAAATACAATTTGACAGAGCCGCATATTGCTAAATTAATAGTACAATCAACATGAACCAAAATGTAGACTCCTCATTTTATTTTTTTTTGTTTTTTTTTCTATGCAAAAACCTGACACTAATGTTCCTCAGGTCTAATGACAGGTTTAATAAAATCACAGTTACATCACAGTCATCAAACGTGACTAGCTAATAAACCAGACCAGGTCTCTAATACTCTCTGTACCCTAGCAACTGACCATTACAGGCACATGTCCACAACACACATAGACACACTCAGAGTGGAAAAGACACAGCAGACGTCAATGTACCTCTTTAACATTTAAAACCACCCATCAGGCACATAGCTGTCTGTACCTGGAGACGCACATGCATCACATATACACTCTGCATACTGTAATGACCTCTTTTCAGAGTACATAAGCTGCAACTGTGTGTGTGTAAATTTTGTGCTGATTGACACTGTACTATTTCCGCAACAATATTAATAGCATGTTTCCTAAAAGAGGTGACAAGCCAGGTGTAACAGGTTTTAAATAAGGGCTCAGACAGGAACTGTTAATCATCAGATCAAGCTTTAAAGAATGCTCTTTCAGTAGGTGTGAGGGGTTTGTTTGTGTGTGCACGTGCAGTGTACGTGCATGCAGAGGTTATCTGTTCCAGTAAACGAGCTCCATTTAAAGCCTCTGTGCCTGGATTCTGCACGTAGCACAGGCGTACAGTGCACCTGTACTGTATTCAGCTGTGGGGGATGTGATGTGTGTAACGTGTTCAGTCTGTAGTTAAAGTATACATGTAGCTCTGCAGCGTCTGTACTGGGTACTGGATCTACAGCAAAACAATCAGACACATTGGAGCATTTCTCTTCCTCCCTACCCAAACAGACACAGCACTCCTCTGCTGCTCTGTCCCAAAGGGAGGACTCTTCTCGATGCTATTTTAACGTGTATCCTTCATTTGTAATAGTAGAAATGTCATGTTTATGTAAGAAATCTAATGTGTGATTTATATATAGTATTCAACATATGAAGAGGTTCAAAAAATTTTTTTTAATTGTCCCAAGACAAAAAAAAAAACGAAGGTTGTTAAATAGTTTTTGGACAATTTTGATGTTGACTACTGTATAAGCGTATTTGATATAACAAATTTAACTGACAAAAGTCATACAAATTAGTTTATTTGTAATAGCTTATTTCTCATATGTAATCTACTGTAATGTAATGTGTATTTATACAGCGCATTTATCATATATGGCCAAACACCCAAAATGCTTCACAATCAAGAGGGATCAAGTGGATGCTGCACACCACCAGTGTGCAGCATCTACTTAAATGATGCAAACGCAGCCACAGGACAACTGTGCCAGTGTGCTCTCCACACACCAGCTACTGGTGAAGTGAAGAGAGTGAGAGAGCCAATTCGATGGGTGGGGATGAATGGGAGGCCTTGATTGGTAAGGGCCGATGGAAGGAATTTGGCCGAGACACCAGGGTTACACCCTGGATTTTTAATGACCACAGAGACCTCGGTTTAATGTCTCATCTGAAAGTCGGCACCCACTGACAATATGGTGTCCCCTTCAGTTTACTGGGGCATTAGGACTCACACTGACGCAGGTTGAGCACCCCCTATTGGCCTCACTAACACCATTTCCATTTGCCTATAACCTTTGATTTGCTTTAATTGGACTTGACATTTAAAAAACATAAACAATAATTCATTAGTGTCACTATAATTTCTAGGGAGGTCGGTTTTGAGTTTTCGTCCTCAATTCAAACCTAGAGTAGACTGAGAGGTTTCACATTTTTCCTAGGGGGCATCTACTAGTAGACCACAAGCTTAGATTTTTTTACACATCACAGACCTCCAGACCTCCAATTTTTTTGTATTAGAAGAAATAAGTAATATATATATTTTTCAGACAAAAGCAGGAACCGGGAACAGAGTCCACTCATGCAACACTTTGAAATTCACGAGTCATGAGAAAATAGTTTTTTTTTAAACATGCATTAATCGTTTTTTGGCCTTAATGTTAATTCAAATGGCCTCCCCCTAAACTCTCACTATGAGTAGACCCCACTGGTTCTTGTGCTATTAAACTATAACTGAACTACAAACTATTTATTTATCTCTGATTTCAGGGCTTCAGGCTGTGACTAAATGGTACCGTTTTGGAATCTTATTTCCTGATAGTAAAACCAGGTAGGATTACAAATTTGCCAAACTGATAAGCAACATTCCTAATATTTTAAGCTTGTTTTATGCTTAGATTTTCCATTCCTCTTCTTGTTCTTATCATTGTTACATCTAAAGGAATTGCTATGGAGTGAGGCAAGCAAAGATTAATTTATACATTATTTATTTATAAACATTTCTGATTTATTCAGGACTATGCGTAGCCTATGTTTTATATTATTTATTTAAATGATAAAATAAGACAATACAACAACATTTGGCGGCACGGTGGCACAGTAGGTGGCGCTGTCGCCTCACAGCAAGAAGGTTGCTGGTTCGAGCCCCGGCTGGGTCAGCTAGCATTTTGATGTGGAGTTTGTTAGTGTGGGTTTCCTCTGGGTGCTCCGGTTTCCTATGCAGTCATGCACTATAGGTGAATTGGGTTAGCTAAATTGTCCGTAGGGTACGAGTGTGAATGAGTGTGTAAGGGTGTTTCCCAGTTATGGGTTGCAGCTGGAAAGGAATCCGCTACGTAAGACATACGATAGATAAGTTGGCGGTTCATTCCGCGGTGGCAACCCATGATTAATGACTAAGCCAAAAAGAAAATAAATTAATGAATGACCGAAAGTATTTTTACATGGTGATTCCAGAAAACTCATACTATGAAAATAATTAAAAATAATACTATGAATGAATGAATATATAAATATATATAAACATTAAAAAAATAAATGTTAAACCTTGGACTAGGTGTGAATGTTACCTAATAGCTTGAGGGACATTGAATTGTGGAGTGTCATTAGCCTCCTCTTCACGCTCCTCATCTTCATCATGACCTTCGTCATCTGGTTCATTGGCTGCCAACTCATCATGAAACTGGAGAAAAGAAGAGAAAATGAGTGAGGAGTGACGGGCTTAACTTTCATCCTATTAGTGTTAAGTCCTCTCACCGTCTCAAACAGCTCTTCCATGAGCTCATTGACTTCCTTCTCTGCAAGAGTGAGATAAAATAAATGACAAAAATGAAAATTCTGGAAAAACTGATTATTAAACAAAACTACATCTCATATAAAGACTCACTTGTAATACGAACAGCACGATCATTTCGATAATCCTCCAAATCTGGCTCATCTAAATCATCTAAGAAGTTATATTCGGGGTCGTCATCTTCATCAGCTTCTTCTAAAAGACAGAGACAGATGAGTGAGAACAGGCACATCAGAGCAGAGATGCTGAGAGAGAACTGGGGAAAAGGTCAAGTAAAAAAAAAAAAAAACATGAGTGGAAAAAACACTGGTAGTACTGAACTGCTGACGTGCACACACACACAGATTTAACTAGACTCACATACAGAGGAAGCTATTAAGACATTAAGAAAAGTGCTGCGACAGCATCTGACTGAGTTCAATGAGCATGACTGTGATTTGTTTAAAGGACACGGTTTACACTGGTTGAGCCAAGGCAAGAAAACAAAACTGTCAAAAATCCCAGTAAAAAAAAAAAACAGTAATGTGAATCCTTATTAGCTATATTTCTGTACATAATTAATTCTTTGATGGGAATACTGGATTTTCAGATCCTTTAAAAAATATTCTTGTAATCAAGAAAAACTTATTTTAATAATCAGTGTTAAAACCTTTGCTGCTTTAAATGTTATGGTGTTCTTTGTTGAATAAAAAACAGCATTTTATTTAAGTATAATATAATTTAGTAACAATGTAAATTGTGGGAAAAAATAATTAATTTTTATTACTTTTGTGTCTTTATTTTTTTATCAGAAAAATGTTTAGACTAACAACAGATTAATCAATCTTTCTCTTTTGTATGATACTACATATTGACCAGACACACTTTCTCTTCTTATTGTGCTGCATACTTTTTAGAAGGAACTGCTGGCAAGAGGGAAATAGCAGAATAAGACTAAATATAGTGTGGGGGCCCTTGATCCAGACTGCTGTTTTATACAAAGTCTAGACATGTCACAAGGAGCATGCTGCTTGTAGAAGTTGTGAAATATATTAAAGATGCACGTAATTGTTTAGTTCTGGTATGCAGAGAAGGGCTGCAGAAAGAGGAAGTATGTCTGGTTACACCAAAACTCAACCTGTTAATATCAGTTGTGTATATATGCTGGAGTCAGGAAATGTATGTTAGTTGCGAATCTCTTGAATGTAATTCTTGTATTGCATTGGGGTAACGTAACCCAGATCTCTGTCATCAAATTATATATTTGTATCCAATAAATTACTAATATTTTGGCATTGATAAAAAACCCTCTCCAGACCTTTTCTTATTGAACACGCACGGAATTGGCTTGATATTCCAACAAAATCTTCACTGCTGCTTTTGATTAATTTATGGCTGAATAAAATGTTTAACTATTTCCTAAAACTAATTTTACCGATAAACATTCGAACAGCACAATAAAAATATAATTGTTATATTTAAACATTTTTTCTAATATTTATATCTCCTGATAATTATTCCATTTTATTACATCCCTAACTCTCAACAGTTGTCATATTTTAGTACTATTCACATTTTTAATATATAAACAGAAATCATGATATTAACTGAAAGAAAGTTGAACTGATATTAAAAGTTGAATTTGATCATAAAAAAAGGCTTGCTGACCGTCGTTGTCCAGATGAGATGTCATGAGTCCTTGCAGCCACTGGGTCCATTCACGGTCCTCTGGTGTGGAGACATTATCATACATATCTGGCGTGATGTCTGGCGCACGGAGCTCGGCCTCCAGCTGATCAAGAGGGACGTCCCGCAATGGACGCTTAGACCGAGTTCGACAAGCTACTAGACTGTCGTCTGGCTCCCCTGCTCCACCACTACTGAGAGCCTTCACCAGACAGACATACTCGTTTTAGAAAAATGGGCTGAACAACTTTAGGAATAAAATATTGTTATAATATAATATGTATGACCAATATTGCAAATGCTATTTACCATGCATTTTTTCTTCTATTATTCAATTCAATTCACCTACATTTCTATAGCATTTTTACAATGTAGATTTTGTCAAAGCAGCTTAACATAGAAGTTCTAGTAAACTCAAACTGTGTCAGTCCAATTTTCAGAGTTGAAATTTTATCTGTTCCATTTTCTAACAGTTTGACGAATTAGTCCTAAATGATTTTGAAGCAAACAGTTTGACAGCTTTTGCGAAGCGTTCTGAGGCCCTATTTATACTTTCGCCTGTGGCACATGAACATTCACCTAGCTTGACCAGACTCCGCACCAAGTTGTGGACTTTCGGATGCAGATCTGTGTGTAGTTAAAAAATGCAGTGCACACTGTCAGCCAAACTGAGTTCACGTACACTCAAAGTGACCCCCAATGACGCGCTGATGACGCACCGATGGCCTCGTGGGCCATGGTATCTGCTGGTTTCTTAGAGTTATACATATTTTTAAAAAATCAGCAGATTCAGGTCCTTGGTTGGTTGATCAGTGCTACTCCAGTTCTTTATTGGTTAATGTACAGGTTGACACTGCTGTCATAAGCTGTTATATAATGAAATCCCCACAAACTCTGTTTATGCAAGCAAAATCCCAGAAAACAATATTTATGTAAACAAAATCCCAGCGTGTATTTTATTGGGTTTTGCCAAAGACTATAAAGGAATTTGAATCTGCCTATGTTGTTCTGCATAATGAGAGGAAGAGATTTAAGTAGATTTCAAAATGAACACAATAGTCTTTAGGGGGTAGGTTTGTTTGCATTTCTAAAACCTCAGAAACACTGATTTAAGACATTTATTAATGCCTCATTTTCATATTATGGAATTTAAGAATTTTAAAAAATTTATGGACATCCTGTAGGCAGTGTGCAAACAAGTAGTGTCATTGCACTTCGGCTGTCCCGAGCTCTAGTCCTGGCTTGTAGACCTTTCTCAATCCCTGAATTGGAAGGTGCATTTAATTTCCTTAGCCTGTATATTTATAGGTGCTTCCATATAAAAAAGAAGGAAGTCCAAAACCATGTTTTCTCTGCAGACGGCTTTACTCTTATGTTCAAATCTGTTTTCAATATCACAATATTACTGCAAAGCAGAGAGGTTTTGTGCATATGTGATTCTGTACCTGATAAGGCTCCATGCAGAGAGGACTTAGTTCAAGTTCTTTATCCACAGCATGGAGTTTCTCGATGAAGGGGTCCAGGGTCTTAAGAGAGCGTGAAAGGCCACAGGATTGAGGAGGAGGGGCAGGGGGACCCATAGGCACTGCCTCGACCCTCAAGTGCCGGGCCAGCCTGGGCTTCTGTGACGGATAAAGGAGAACAAAAGAATCAAATCTTCATCTATGTGCAGAAAGAATGAAATACACATGTGTGTTTAATCATTATGCTGTGTAAAGTACCAGTCTGGGGCTGTTGCTGGCATCATCACAATGGGGAGGCGTTTGAGAAGGAAAACGTCTGATGCCGCGGGGTGAGGAGGATGTGCTTTCCACATCACTCTCCAAAAACGTCTAAGAGACAATTCAAATACATGCTATTGTAAAGCAATCAACACAAATTGTTAAACGTATATTAGTAAAACTAATTTTATTATTTGAGTTGCCAAAAAAGGGGAAGATTTTGTCTTAAATTGTAGAGATGTAGATCTTTCATGATAAATAAAATGTAACTTACAATGTAAATTTACCATAAATGCATAGAATTAATATTATGCTCACAAAGGCTACATTGAAGAGAACAAAACGATTGTATAATTTATGACTATGTAGACAAAGCTTAATTTTCAAGCAGCCGTTACTTTTTACTACAGTTTTCTGTGTCACACAATTCCTAAAACTATCATTCATTCTAATATTTAAAATATATAAAATTATTTACAATATATATAAAATAATATATAAAATTATCAATGTTGAAAGCAGCCACATTGAGTGGTACGTTTTTTTTTAAGACTCTTGACTCTTTTTGCTCAAAATAAATACTAATAACTTATAAAGTTACACTATAGAATTCATACAATAACAGAACTCGAGCTGTGATGTGTGTGAGATGCACCTCCTCAGCTGTTTCATCTTCCTCGTCTTCATCAGGACAATACTCTTCATCTGAGGAGTCCTCCTCTTCTTGCAGTGGAATGTCCACAAATTGAGGTGGCTAAGGAGACAGTCACATTCATCAATTAGCAAAAATAATTAATAACAATAATAGTAAACATCACACAAGTGGTTAATCACAACCATTTGATACCTTAATGTCATTTGCCTTCTTTATTGGTGAGATGTTCCAGTTTCCCATGCCCTACAAAAATAAATAAAAATAAAAAGTAATAATAATCTCACATTTTAATATTCTCACAAATTTAAAAAACATGAAATGTCCATATTATTAACACTACACTCACCACCCCTTTTTCAACAGCTTCCTTCAGCTTAGAACGAGTCATTTTAGGCTCCTATATTAAAAAGAAAATGAATATCATAATCAAATTGCATTATTATCTTCAAAGCACACTTTCCACTTTAAGATTAAAGTACAGGAACTTACAAACATGGGCATGTCTTGTGTCTCTTTTATGGCAGCTTTCATCATGGCCACAACATGCTCATTGGTTACCACCTCCTGAACTCAAAAAAAATCAACAGTTTGTCATTTTTATTGTCTTTTTTACATCATTTGATGTTAGCATTGCCAAGACTTTCTATGAAGATTATACTAATAATGAATTATAACTTATAATGGTTATAACTACTTAGCAATCATAACAAATCTGCAAACATATCAATAAAGACACAATAAATCTTATACTGTATCTTATACTACATTTATAAGAATGCTATTAATACCTAATAGTGATGTATTTTTTAACGCACATGTTCATAACATGTACAAATATTAATTAGTCATTCCTGTTTGTATTTATAAAGATGCAGTTTTATAATTGTATATAATCTTTCAGAATTCTATAAATGGTTTATAAATGTTTTTTTTATCTGCACATTTAAAACAATTTCTGGTTAGGCTTAAAAATACAAGATGGAACATCAGTTAAATTAGCAATAAGCCATTTATAAATGCATAATGAGCACATCCTTATATGAAAAATTTGCATCCTGTTTTTACTTAAAGCCATTAACAATGCACTTTAGGGTTGCATGGTTTACCGGTACTATGGTAGAATCGTGAATTCGCGTTTGGCTCCAAAATACTGGCGGTGCCACTGTAGTTTGTAAACGGTACTATCGTCATTAATGGTTTATCTACAATAGATAATGTTGCACGTGGAAAAAAGTTACTAAAATGCTCACACTTTTGTGCAACAATAAACCATTTTATTTGATAGTCTGTGAAGCTTTTTAAGGTTGTAAATTCACGTCTTTTCTGGTAACCTATTGCATGTTTTCTAACGCTTCAGTTCGAAAGCACATCTAAATCGGTTCATTTCTGTTCCAGCTAGTATAATTTTTTAGCGACTCCGACAATCTCTTTTAAAGGAACGACTCACAAAGTGAAATTTTTAATTACTTTGGATTGTTACCAAGAAAACTTTGAAACAATTTTTGACCACTTCATGAAGTCATTTTGTTAGAAAAATGCTCTTTTGTAACACATTTAATTTGGCATAATTTGTCTCTTCATTTTGATGTATTTCTGTTGGTCAGTTATCTACAAAATAAACAAAAAGAATGAATACATTTTAGGTGAGGTTAGGTGAAAATAATACTTTTTGGCCTTGAGGGAATTATGAAATACATTTAAGTAGGCCTATTTTAACAAAATATAGTATTTTTGACCATTTCCTTTATAATTTAAGTTACGAATTACAGTATCGCAATACTACTTGATTTGGTGATACTTCAGCTGGTATAGTATCGTAAGATTAATTAATTGTATCGTGACAATCCTAATGCACTTACAAAGGCTAGTAACTGTATTATGACTCACAATAAGTATTTATAAGGCACAGGGCTCTTATCAATAAAACCATTCATTTATTTGACACAACAAAATATGTTAACTTACTAATGGGTCTTTATAACTAGCATCACAGTGTTTTAACATTGCAAACTGCATCTTTATAAATCCAATCATGACTGAATTTGCACTGAAAAATGAAATGCATCACTAGTAAGTATTAATAACACTATTATAAATGTAGTTATAACTGTCAATATAACACAGTATAAAGTCTGTTGTGTTTTTATAGATATATTTTTAGAACTGCAATGATTTATTAGAAATAATTATGAACAGAATAATAAATCATTATAAATATGAGCTTCATAGAAAGTGATATGCTTGGATTCTTTAAATTCTCAATTTTAATCTCTCAAGAACACAAAATAGGTAAGGCATATTTCCAGACTCACATGGATGATGTTACGAACATTGATAGAGGAGAGGTTGAGTTTTTTAGATTTGAGTGTTAAATCTCTGTCCAGCTTCCTGAGCTCTTCCTCATTCTCATCTTCTTCACTTAGCTGTTCCATAGTCTTCTCCACATCTCCATCCTCTTTCTGAGGGATCTCTCCTTCTGTCTGATTTATTCCATTCTTCTTTATATTCACTCCATTCCGTTTCTTCAGCCATTCCTCCCCTTCACATCTGTCCTCATCTACAGGTCAAGCAATGAGAACTCAAATCAGATGCTGGAAATGCCCAAAAATCAGTGGGCCTCAACAAGGCAGCTAGAGCTCACCATAGGCCTGTATGCACTTTAATAGATGCTTTAAAGTGAGCATAATAGTTCTTTGAGTTAGAAACATTAACTGCCCTTTAACCAATAGTGATCTCTGGCTAAACAAGCTGCAAAATATAGAGAGTTGGTACTTCTGTCAAAATTTGGTCAGAAACCTGTATGCCTGTTCATACTGGCAATACTCAGTTCAGCTTCCTTAATATTGTCATTCAAACATCACAGTAGATGCAATGCAGAACAAAATTATGTTACATTGACACCCACCCACCAAGATCATAAAAAAACATCAGAAAACACTATAAAAACCTTATTTATAAATATAATTTCATAAATATGTTAAAATATAAACCAATTTAAAACAAAAAAAGGGAGTGAATAAATACTTAACTACCTATTGCACAGTTTATTATAATAGTTATGATATTGACCTATGTGCTAATTTAACTGTTTATTCTCTTTTATTTACATACTGACTATACATACTCGAATGTGAATAAGAGGATGGATTGCACAATTAATGCACTATTGAAAACATTGTTCTGCAAATTTATGTAATCTAAACCATTAAAAAAAACATGTGGAAGCTGCTAAATCATATAGAGAATAACTTAGTATGCAGGAAAGGGTAAAAGACTTTGACAAGCTGAATTTGACCGGTTAATCAAGACTTTAGACTAAAATTTCCCTTACTTGACCTGAAATAAAAACAACACATCAATGTTGTCAAGATTTTTGCCCTGGATATCCTGGTTCAGTTTGGCTACCCACAAACACCTGTTCCTCAGATATTTTAATTCTTCTTTTTCTCTTATCTGCTAGATTTGTTATAACTTTTGGCTACTCTTCATGTATTTTTTCAGAACAACACAAAACACAATAATTGATCATTTTCAGCAGAAACAATGAAAACTTTTATTTGAGTCAGCAGCATTGTTTACAGTATTTGCAGCTGACGGATGACACATCATGAAAACACTTTATCCGCTTGTTAAGTCATGACATATGCTACACTGTTTCCAGGTCCAAGCCACTTTTCATTTGAATTGAGAAAATATTTGTTTATGACCAGTCACAGTAACAGTCTCTGGACTTGCAGCATCACAGACACCAATATTTTAACAATTTATAAAAAATGTAGCACTTTCTGGCCTCCTAAGCATTGATATATCTATAGCGATTATAATTTTCGAAAGCATTGCATCGCTTTGTTAATGTTTCTTATTACCATTTGTTGAGTCTCCCCTTACAGTTTGATATAGCGCATGCACCCGGAAGCTGCTTCACGTGACGTCACATTTAACAAGCTGATAAAGAACAGTTACACTAAAAAGTTGTAATTGTTTATTCAAACTCCACAAACAGCAAACCTGAGTGTCCTCCTAATGAACACAAAACTAGATTTTTTGAATATATTAGTAAACAATCTGAATTCTTTAAAATATCTGAAACTAGCGCTGAACACTATATCGTTTGAGCATTGATATCACAGCGTTTGTCTCTGCAATGGTCATATTGCAGGATAAGATTGTGCCATGGTCGACCCGACCTCAAACAAACCTTGACGTTGTCTTAATGAACAGCCACAAGCCAAGAAGAACAAAATCTATCGTGTCCTCCTTTTATTTTTACGAGGTTGTCTAAAAGTGCGAGCGGTTTCACTTTCTCCAGAGCTCACAATCACTCGTGCGCATCTATATTTGAATGAACTTCTTGAGCTCATGATAATAACCTGCACGTGATTATTAAAGTGCTTCTGACATCCGATCCTTTTAGAAATGGACAAATCCGAGAGTGAAGTGTGAAAAAACAAAGGAGAAGCTGGAAAAAACAAGAGCAAAAGATTCAGCAATCTAAAACATGAACAAACTGCCATGTTTAACTATTATCATCATCTTTTGGACTATTATGAACTGGGAATGATGAAATTACTTTATAACAAGAGGTTAAGTGTGCTGGGGGAGATTAAAGAGAAGTTTGCACTGACCAGGCTACATGTGGGACTACATGTTTGCTGTGTGTAGTTTTTCTGTAAGTGGTAACATATTGGTGACTGTAAGGATCTGTATGTGTTCATATATGCTGCTTTTATTTATTTGCTTATTTTTTTTATATAATTGCAATTGTTACAGTAGGCTATTTCGCACTGTCATTGATCTGCAGTTATAATCAAATCATGTTCATAGAAGGGTTAGTAATGAACATTCAAATACAAGTATTTATATGTATCTGTATGCATCTGTTTTGTGAGAATGCTTCTCATATGATATGTGAACGACCTGTCCAGCTTTACTTTGACATTTCCTTGAGCAAGAATGACGTCGATAGAAACTTTTTGGCAGTGAAAACGCAAGCCTGATAAAGGCGACCTATAACGTACTGTACCTCTCAGTGGAAATGGGCCAATCCACTCTCCAGAAAACCTTTTTATTTTTGCATTGTTGTATTTATATATGCTTGCAATTTATTATATTGTAATGCAGATGCACAACATAGAAAAAGACTTGATCGCCCAGGTCGATCTAAATTAAAGAAATATTTCCAAATCAGCTGGTGAAATTATCTTCATATTACAATATATATCGCGGGAAAACAAAATATCGCAACGTCAGAATTTTCCAAAATCATGCAGTGCTATCTGAAACTATTGAAAGGACTCAAAGGAGAGTAAATAATAAAAAGATTGTACTACCCCTTTTAGTGAAGTGTGGATCACAGAACAGCTAAATGCTTTAACTCACCCACAGTGATGACCAGACCCAGCTCCGCATCCTCTTCTGACCGCAAAGGGGATGAAACTGGAGTAGAGGACTGGATACAGTCACTGTCATCTTCAACATGACCTAGACACAAAAAATAATCAAATATCAAATCTGTGATAATCTCCATTCATCAGCCATATTATCGTTTGCTTCTGCACTACCTGCGCTGGACATCTTCTCCTGGCCATTGCACTGATCAACATGCCTGTCTGGAGAAAGGGACTGAATGGAGGTCCAGCTCTTTGTTTTACTGGGTGTAGAGGCCTTCCTCTTCCATGAGCTAGGAGATCTGCTGAGGGATTCCCTCTTTGGTAGTTTGACAAGATTTGGTTGTGGTTCTGGAGAAGAAGACTTGCGTTTCCATCCCATGTTCAATCTGTCTCTGAGCCTGAAAACACACGTTAATGAATACCAGAGATATAAACCATTGTTTTCCACTAATATGTTTTTATTCTATAAATTATTAATAATCAATTAAAAACTAATTACCAGCCGGATAAGCAAAATGGTTTGGATGTTATTTACCCAAGCCCAGTGAGCAACATTTTCAAAATCAATAACGTTAATATATGAATCATTATAAAGATAAACATATAATACAGCAAGGTTTGCTTATAAATCAGAAATGTTATGTCTGGTATCCATCCTGGCCAGGACATGAAATAGCTGTGCGTTTTAGCAATAACCCAGTATTAATTCCACTTACAGAGTTCACAAACAGTAATTTTGAGGTCTGCATTTTCTACTGTTAGCCTCTTGGCTAATTTAAGTTAGCATAGCGTCCCTATACAGCACATTCTACTAGGAACATTTTTATAGATTTTTAATTTGTGTCATGCAAAAACGTTGTTTTAGCAGTTCACATTTCATACTGTAAAACATCCTTCTTACCCAGGAACGTATGTCTGCAGCCATCGGTATCTTTCTATTAAGCCCGCCGCTTCACAACAAACGGCGGGTGTTTCGCTCTTTCCCTTCCCTCACAAACACAGGCGATGAAAAATAAAACGTTCCCAGACCTCTGCGCAAAACCACGACAATGTTTTAGGTTTTAACTAATACAAAATAAATGAAGGAATAAATAAATAAAAGGTATAATAAATATATAAATGTACTATAAGTATAACATACAATTATATTATACAAGTATAATATAATTCTCTATTTTCATATTATATAATAATTATACCTACTCCTGACCTGTAGGATACGTTTTAGTGTAACGTTACAGGTTATTATTTTTTATATTCCTTTTTATAGGCTCGCTTATTTTCGATTTTTATATTTTATCTAAAACTATAATTAATTAATTACTTAATTAATATAATTTATTTATTATGATTTATTTATCACGAATAACTATAGTAGAAAATGGTTTTCATTATTTGTTTCACTTAGCCTACTAAAAAATATTTGGCATACATTTTTGTTATAGAAATGTAACTATGCTAATAAAATTGTAAAATAAGGTTCATAGGCTGTACCTTATTATTAAGCTGTTCATAGCGGGAGGAGTCTGTTCATGTCGCAACTGTATATTTACAGTTGTCACTCGAATTCCTCTCACATAGCCTATTCAGCATGAGGCAGGAATCATTTCTCTCCAGACTTCAGTAAACTTTTGCAAGTTTTAAAATAACGGGACCGCAGAGAAAATGTCATCAACGATCAAGAAAGTGAGAAAAATATAGGCTTTTGGAAAGGTTTCACTCTGAATTTTGCGTTATATGTCAATTGCAAACAATGGGCAGAAAATTACCACCAGCTCGTGATTTTGCACCTGCTAAGCGAGAAAAGAAAGCGTGCCACTCAGGTGCGCGGGAGATTCAGCCTGCGGCAGCGAGACTCGTACCACTCAGGAATGTGGTGGTGACTCCTGCCAGTGTGCCCGAGTTCACCATCCCCTCGCTGTGCCCGGCGAGACATGGAGGCGGGGACGGACAGCGGCGGCGACACACAATTCCCCGGTCCCCAGACTCATCATCTTCATTGATAGTCCGGGCTCTGACACGCTGCTGCCCTTTCTCTGATGAGCACGAGCTCTGCTTTATGGACCATCATGAGCTCCAGACTCTGTCAGACCCGACAACCAGAGCAGCGATGTCCTTACCTCACCTCAGCAAAATCACTACCCCGTACGGCTTCCTGACACTCGGCGAGAGCCCGTGCGTGCGCAGAAGGGAATCTCTGTTTTTTGAGGAGAAGAACGGATTTCAGGAATGTCCCCATGCAGAGCATGAACACTGTTTAACTACTCGTTATTGTGTTAAATTACAGAATAACTCTTATTGTTCTTTCCCACAAGTGAAAACTGAGCAGAAACATTCCTGTGACTATTCAAAACTGACTTTAGTGAGACCTGCTCACATCAACTGCGGATTTTTACGAAAAGCTTGGAGAAAATGTTTAAGTAGAGTTCTCTGGTCTCGGTGAAGCCATTTGCTTTAAAAAAAAAAACAACTTAAATATCAACTGCATAAACTGTTATGCCACAGGAACCATAGATGGACTTCAACATCTTGTGTGATTAGATTCTGGCTTTCTGTAAACCTTGTAGCATTTTTTTAAAGTTTTGTATTTATAAATAGCCTAAACTTTAACATTTTAAAAAGTTTCAAAGGAGGTCATTAATCTCACAAAAGAACCATCTTTGTGAATGAGCTGGAACGAACTGTTTAGTGAAAAGGGGAAGAGAAGGTTCTTTTGTAGTGAAAAACATCCTTTATAATATTAGTATTTTAATAAAGAACGGAACTGTTTAGAAAATGGAGTTTAAATAGTGTTTTTTTTGTAAAAAAAAAAAAAAATGGGGGGATTTATTAAGGAAACTTAAATTCTAAGAAAAAAGTTTCATTTTAATGAATCTAAAAATGTTTTTTGGTAAAAACACTTTTCTAAAGACTTCTGTTCTTAAAACAGCAAAGGCAAAATAAAATTGTTCTAATAAAATAATTCTGGTTCGTCGATAAGCACTGCTAAAACATTGTTTTGTGAGAATGCTAAAGTTTTATTATTGAACTTTCAATGCCAATAAATATGTATTGTTTTAATTTGTGTGTTGTTAAGTCTGGTCAAAATTGTCTTATTTGGATTTAAATAAATTCTAGTTTTAATGGTATCTATTTTGATTTATTACTTTTTTAATACACATTATATAAATAAATGAGCAGCCTCTATTGATCATGTATTTTAATAATAAGCCAAGCATTGTGGTTATCTTTAAAACAAACACTGACAAATTTGCTTTTCATCTACAGCCTTATTAGAAACAACTTTGGACATTGATTATTTCTGTTTTATAATACTAAATGAAACTCCTATCATTAAATTAAAACTAAAACAACAAAATGATTAAATGGTGGTGAAAACTGGTCAACAGATTTTTTATTTTTTTTGGAGAGCCTTAAAAAATAAGCTTAAAGTGACATTTAAAGACTTAACTAGATTAATTAGGTTAACTAGGCAGGTTAGGGTAATTAGGCAAGTTATTGTATAATGATGGTTTGTTCTGTAGATTATCGGAAAAAATCTAACTAGGGGGCTAATAATTTTGACCTTAAAACGTTTTTTAAAAATCTAAAAACTGCTTTTATTCTATAGGCAAAATAAAACAAATAAAACTTTCTCCAGAAAAAACATATATTATCAGACATACTTTGAGAATGACCTTGCTCTGTTAAACTTCATTTGGGAAATGTTTAAAAATTTATATTTAAGCAATAACCAGTAAAATGGATTAGAAATTACTCATTAAATTTTAATAGAATCATGATATTTTTACTTAAGCATTATAGGTGCCTCTCAGCAATTAAAATTAATTTTAGATATCACATACTCCTAGGTTCCAAAGGACATGACAGTAAATAATATTTGTGTGTAATCTGTCCTGAAAGCAAAGCTCAAATTCCTCATAGAGATGTCTAAAGAGCAGTCATAAAGAGTCTCTAACAGTAAGATCTGCATGTCTAAAAGTGTCACCTTTAAGTGTTCATGGGAATGACAATGTGATCAGAGAGAATCTCAAGGTGCTTAAAAAAATTGAAGGGTTGGAAAAGTTCTTAAAGAGCTTTCAAGATAATAGATAAGAGGGAAACTGAGGATTTAGATCTAGTCATATGAATTTGTTTCATTATAAACATGGCCTCACATGCATTATTTTATTTTTATGCTGTTTCTATGTTGCCAGATGCTTCATTATAACCCCTAAATGCTGCAGAAGCTTTAATAAATAAATAAATTACCTGCTGACTTTGCAAAAGTTGAGCAAAGGGATCTAAAATCAAACTGAGCGGTGTTAGGAAAGCAGGCTGATTTTATTTTATGAACTCTAGTTGTGTATGGCTCACAAAAATGCTGTATAGATCACACCAATTATTTTTACATTACATCCTTATGAAAACTGAAGCCACTCTCATTCAGCAGGACCAACCAGGAGACAAACTAAGTGGCTTGAGAAGGAATGTACACATGACGTGCAGAAGTCTGAATGGGTAAAATAAAATGATTTAGAAAACATAAATCTAGAAATGTTACTTTACTGAAATATAGTAAATGATACGTAATGGATGCTGGTCTTTAAAACTTTTAAATAATAAAGGCCAAGTAATATAATGGAGAACTAAAATGTAATTACTTGATCTTTAATATTTAACCGTCTTCTTTCACACACACCCTGGAAATTATTGTATTTATTTAGCCTTTACTGTAATAAAATGTTTCCTAAATTTGTTTTGGAATCAAATGAATGTTTCTAGTCATCTCAAATTACATGCAAACTTTGCATAACTAAAACAAATTATATTAACTGATTAAAATTAGTTACAGTAACATAAAAAAAGCATTTGCTTTCATGACTTTTTGTCAATTTTTTTTACAGTGTATACATATATTTCAAGCCAGCAGTGTCGCTACTTCTCCAGCAGGGGACGATGTTCAATCACACTCACTCAATCGGCTATCACTCTGTGATAGCCGATTGCCGAAGCTCGTGGTCTTACAAAAGAAACATCTTTAAATTACATATATACAAGATCTGACATCATCCAGTGCTGTACAAGATTACATGCGTGTGCATTTAGCCAACAAAACAGTCTTGGCTTGGTTTCCCTGTGGATGTGTTTGGCTACTTGGGTCAGTTGAGCAGCGGAGCCCTTCGCTCTCAATCACCGGCCTTCACTTCTCCCAGAAGCCAGTAGGTCCTCATCTTGCCTTTCCCCTTCATCTCCACATCTCCCCTGAGCTCCAGCTGAAAGCAGTTGAACTCCTGCAGCACAGCTCGAGTGGCTGATGACACATGAATCTTCAGAGCTGCAGGTGAAACAGCAATGATTAATTACAGCCATACTGTAAACGCCCTGATTATAGCTGTGTTCACACAGCTCACTCCACTGGGATGCTGGCAAACATAATTTACTCATTTACTTTTGACCTGCAGGTAGAGTCGGTAAGTGTGCTATGTTATGCCATGTTAAAAGTTTTAGTTTTTAAGATAATAAAATAAAAAGATCCCATATTTTGTATTTTCAGATATTTATGGAAGTGATGGGACCTTTTTCTCTGCTCTGTTTACTTTTGATGTTGAAAATTCAACTCTGCAGTTTAACAAAGAGACTTTTATTGACATTTTAGTGGTTTGAAATAATGTTTAAGAAATATTATGTACAGAGAAATACGTCTGTAAAATAACAGATAATGTACTGGCAGTTTATCGTATGACTTTTGTACCATCATTTAACAACAACCTAGACAACATATCACTTTGAACTGTTAAAGATGTTAATAAAAGTCCCTTTTTCAAACTTGTTAGGATTCAAAGTTGTTGGAAGAAAGCTCAAGATCTAGAAATGAATCACAAAATACAGAAATCTGCTAATTTATGGATATTTTAATTGGTTCATATGAATCTGAGATGGTGACACGGTGGCTCAGTGGTTAGCACTGTCGCCTTAGAGCAAGAAGGTTA